GTTTGATACATAATTGCTTTTTGAAAGATTCTCTTTTTATATAATAAACCTCTCCTCCATTTTTGCCTCCTTTAGGCGTCATTGTTTCCTTTTTTAGAAAGTTATTTTTAATTTTTTTTTTTTTTTAATTTTCCACTACATGAAATTCTGTATGGGATTAGTATCCTCAGTCAGGTCATACAGTTTTCACAATTTGGGATAGATTTTTGGTAGATACTTTTCCTCCTTTCTTCCCAAAGAAAATATTTGCAAGAAGAATAGAAAATTACCAATTAATGGTAGCTGGTGGCGTTATTACTAACATTGTCCATGCCCATGTCCATGGTGAGGCAGGGGGTGGGTTCTGAATGTTATTTCTGAAGATTATCCCTTACCACAGGGGAGTACAAGTCATTCTGGAATCAGAAATCTGAGCAGAGCACCGTGGTCACTAAGTAGATTGTATGCTTTTCTTCTTGCCTGTTTTCCTGTTTTTATCTCTTCAGCCCCAGAGGCAGGGGTTTCATCTCCCTTGCCTCATGGGAGAGTGGCTTGGCCTGGGGGCTTCCTTCCATTGCATCCCGTTTCCCAAGCCTGTTTCTGAATCCCTTGCATTGTCCATCCTTAAAGCTCTTGCAGCTTCTGGGAGATAAACAAATACCTCTTCTAAAGTATAGTTAGTTAGCATCCTCTTTTGTCTTTGTTTAGACTCATATAAGCCTTAATGGCACATTTCCCAAAACCAGTCAAGTTGCAGGCAAGAAAACACTGGGATAAAAAAATTAAAAAACAAACAACCTCAGTGATAATCTCAATACTGCTTTAGAGTCACAGGTTTTCTAAAACTAAACCTATTTTCCTAAAGCATCCCGTTTTTTTCCTACCTTTCTTTCTCCTCCTAAGAAGACTGGCTGACTCATCAACTCATTTCACAGTGGTTTTCGCTGGCAGTGCCAGGGTTGTGTTCACCATCTGAGTACAGTAGGAAAGGCACAATGGTTGCATTGCATTAGTGAAATGTCTATTGTGTGAGTGTCTCTGTTCCCCTTTCATTGGGTGATATCCAGAAATAGTGTGTGCAGGAATGTGCAGGGGCTAGGCGACAGCATGACGCTGATTTTGCTTTTTCATTTTGGGCACCGTCACACAAAATAATAAACGGCTCGCCCTGCAGAAGAATTGTCTTTTGTGTTTGTCTCTGGGGCCTTGTCAAGGTTTATCTTTCCATCCTCCAACCTGGTATGTGTTCCCAGGAGCCACCTGAGAACGACAAGCTCAGTACAGTTAACGTCTTTCAAACTTCGATGATTAGCATTAGGCAGTGCTGACCATTCTTTTTTAAGTTTGCGTTTCATTTTTCTGGCCGTGCCCTGCAGCCTGTGGGATCTTAGTTCCCTGACCAGGGATTGAACCTGCGCCCCCTGAGTTGAAATTGCTGAGTCATAACCACTGGCCTGCCAGGGAAGTCTCAGAGCTGACAGTTAGGATATGCCTCCTGGGGCTTGTTGTGTGGTCCTTGGCACCCGGAAGTCACACTAGCTCACAGATCTTTTTTACTAAAGACTGGGTGGGCGTGGCCATGGGGCAGCAAGACAAATTGCTCGTCTTTTTGTGCAGGCCCCTTGAACAGCTTAATCACCAGAGCTGAGGCCAGAACTATCTCCCTAAAGACTGATCTTTTGAGTGATGAACATTTTCTTTTTCCTTTTTTCCTAACAGAAATCTGGCTGGAAATTTTCACTTTAGAACTAAGTTTAAAAAAAAAAAAAAAAACACTCCAGTATTCTTGCCTGGAGAATCCCATGGACAGAGGAGCCTGGCGGACTGCAGTCTGTGGGGTCACAAGGAGTTGGACGTGACCGAGCAGCTGAGCGCACACACATAAGACTGGGGTGCTCACACACCAGCGCCCCCTCACCTGCCCTGTGTCCTGTGCAGGGATCTGGGGGTCAGCTTTCAGCCTGGTGCTTGAAAGGCGCTGATTTAGCTGATACATCTAGTTGGGGATCTCCTTGCTTCCTCACGATTCCCATTTTGGCGTGAAAAGTGTCAAGTTGGCTGCGTGTATTTGAACGCCCACGACGCCCGTATGGTCTTTTGGACTCAGTGTTCAGCACTTTATCAGTCAGCACTTAGTGTGCTTTTGCAGTCCTGTGACTCAGCGCCATCACAGCTCCCCGAAGCGGCAGAGTGGAGGCCCTCCCTGAACCGGGGACGCATTTTGACATCCCCACCTTTTTCTTCTCATTCTCTTTCCTCTGTCTGGAATACCTCGAGGTCTGGCTCAGTTTGCGAGGTCAACTCAAATGTCACCCACTTGATAAAACCTCTGCCCACTTGGATGTGTTTCCTTGCCTCTGAACCTCAATTATGCTCCCTCTGACCTTTGTTACCAATTCATTCATTTGTTTATTGATGCCTGCTATGTACCAGATTTGGGATCAAGTTCTCTCTCACTTCTGTCTCTCTCATGGAGCTTACATTCTAGGCTCGGGAAATAGCATACATAAACAGCACATGCAGTACATAAGTCAATTATATAGTATTTTGGAAGGGTTAAAATGGAATGGAGTGGGAAATGAAAAATAATAGCAGGATTGGGTTGGTCAGAAGTGCAAAGGCTTCCCTCATAGCCCAATTGGTCAAGAATCTGCCTACAATGCAGAAGACACCAGTTTGATTCCTGGATCAAGAAGATCCCCTGGAGAAGGGATAGGCTTCCCACTTCAGTATTCTTGGATTTCCCTTGTGGCTCAGCTGGTAAAGAATCTATGTGCAATGTGGGAGACCTGGGTTCAATCTCAGGGTTAAGAAGACCCCCCTGCAGAAGGGAAAGGCTACCCACTCTGGTATTCTAGCCTGGAGAATTCCATGGACAGTATAGTCCATGGGGTCACAAAGAATTGGACACAACTGGGGACTTTAACTTTTCACAAGGTGGGAGGAGGGGAAGTTGAGTGCCCGTTAAGCAGACACGCCTGAAGTTGGCTGATGGTCATGGTCATTTGTGTGTGTGCCTTCTCCTTTGCCAACGGAAGGGACAGAGTCTGGGCCCCTCACTGACTTAGCTGCCAGCAACACTTAGCACAAGCTGCCTTGTGTGTGGTTGGTGCTCTGTAGATAATTGATGAAATGGGAATGAAGGTGTAAACATGAATTTGAGGACAAATAAATAAGCTCATCTCCTGTTTTTGCCTTTTTCTTGTCCTTAAAAAAACTGATGATAAATCTGTGCTTAGGAAGTTGAGATTCCATCCCTGTTTAGTCAATCTTTTCAAGACAGAATTTGTCACTCGACCTCAGTGGGTACAGGGGTTTTGGAAAGTGTTGATCAATGTCTGGACCGCTTTTTGCATGAAATAACACAATTCTAACATACACACCTCAGTTCCATGTAGAAGAGCACAGAGGACCACAGTTTGTGTAGTGCTTTGGCCAGTTTTTTGTTGTCAAAGGATCATTTTTTTAAAAAAATAAATAACCATAGGGAACTGAATAGGGGAAAACATTTCAAGAGTATATTTTTTTTATCAGTTTGCCAAGAAAAACTCAAGGGTCTCTTGACAATCTCTGAGTTTAATTAGCTTTCAGTTTACAAATAGTTATCAAGTGAAAGAACATTATCCCAGGGCAGAGCAATACCTAATGTGGATTGTGAAGGTACAAATGTCACGTGACCAGTGAGTGTGCAGTTCAGCTCTTACCTGGGGTTTAGAGATTATGGAAAATCAATGCAGAATAGCTTTCTGGGCTGCATTCAGAAATATAACTGGGTGTTGAATTAAAAAAAAGAGATCTAAGGCTGCAGTTGATCCATTGCTTTCAGATGCCCAATTTAAAATGTAAATGGATGCTACGGCTGATAGAGTTCTCCTCTGACAGCTAAAAAGCCCTGTATAATTTAAAGCCCTGAGTTCCACAGCCTCTCCAGGAAGAGGGTGTCATAGATACTAGAATATCAGTGTCAGGAGGCCCCCGTGGCCAACCTAGTTTAGTGCTTTTCCTACTGCTCCAGAGGAGTCTCCTAGGGGCTCAGTGTGGGGAGGGGAAGGCTCTGAGTGCTTTCCAGGCTGCTGTGTCTTTACTTGGAAAGGAATGAGCTAATCTAGATCAAGCTATTTCTTTCCAAGTATTTTTAGCCTCAGAATCCTTCCTCCATGCAAACTTTTACCCAGAAACATAAAGACAATAGACCTGGTCAAAGTATTTTGAGGTGAATGGAAGAACAGGCATGGGACTGGAGGAGGTAAGACACAGCTCTAAGTGGCGTGTACCACAGTTGTAAAAGGAGTTCAAAAAATTTCTTTCTGGGACTGTGTCCTCATGGGCTTAGTGTGGGGATCAAATGGGACTGGGAAGCATAGTGGATAAGAGAGTGTACGCTTAATGCATTAGTGAAATGTAAAGTATTACTATGTTTTTCTCTTTTGTACCACTAGAACAATCATGTAGACTGTCAAACTGTGTTCTAAGGAGCTGGGAATCATTATAGGAAGCTTAAGGGACCCCTGTTCTGCAGACAAATCATCATCTTTTTATCTGCTTCCTTTTTGTTAGGCATCTAAGTAGAATTTCCTTTACAGATAGAGCTCTATAACTTTGACAGAGTTTGAAAACCACTAATCTAGAAGGAGTTTTGCAAACAAATAGATATGCTTGTTTGAAATGCTGGTGGCCATCTATGCCTTTTGAAATGACCAGATACAGAATATTCAGGGCAGAGAACAGCTCAATACCTAGTACATGAAAATAGACTGCCACTATAGATGTCTTCTTTATGCACAGATTGGCTTGAACTAAAGAGACTGAAAACTGAGTGAGTGGCAAGACTGAAACTCACTGTGGAATCCTTTGAGCTGCTTTTAGATGTGCGGTGTCTTTTAAGTCTGGGTGTTCCCAAGGCCTTTTATTTCTCAGCTCTGTTTGTAATGGATGTGGTGATTTAGTGTAAGTACCAAGGTGAAAACTAAGTGGTACCTGACAGATAATGGCCCTTTCTTTCTTCTGTCTTCATTTTTTAGTGCACTTACATTTCAATCAACCAAGTTCCCAGGACCCATGCCATTGTGATAAGCAGACCTGCCTGGCTTTGGGGGGCAGAAATGGGAGCCAATGAACATGGAGTATGCATAGCCAACGAAGCCATCAATGCCAGAGAACCAGCTGCCGAGACAGAAGCCTTACTGGGGATGGATCTGGTCAGGTACTGCATGGTGACTCTTAGAGACAACTGCTTTCAACAGGTTGGGGTGGGGATGGGCTTTATCCCTCCCAAACCTCATACTTTGTTATGCAGTCCTTCCAAAGAAGACTTATGCCTTTTGATGTAAATTTGGAGGTGGTGGAAAAAAGAGTAGACTACAATGGAATATTATTCAGAAATAAAAAAGAATCAAGTGCTGATACCTGCTATACTTGAAAACATTATATTAAATGAAAGAAGCCAGACACAAAAAGTCACATATTACATGATTCTAGTTACATGAAATACCCATTATAGGCAAATTCATAGAAGCAGAAAGTGGTCTCCTGGGGTTGGAGTAGGGGATAGAGAGGGATTCCTAATGGGTACAGGGCTTCTTTTTGGGCTGTTTGAAATGTTTTAAACTTAGATTATGGTGATAGTTGCACAGCTTTATGAATATACTAAAGATCATTCAATGACACTTCTAAACGAGTCAATTTGATGGTCTTTGAAATATATCTAATAATATATAAAAGTGAAAAGAAAAAATATATAAAACACATAAAATATAAAGGAAGAAAGAGCAGAAACTGCTTCCCTCCTTTCCCCTCTATGTCTCTGTCCTGTTTTCTTCCTTTCTCTCCCCTCCCAGCCACAGTGTAATGCATTCATGTTTATTGCATTAGTGAAGTGCAGAGGCAGACCCGTAAGCTTGGCAAGATGGAGGTCTCCTTTGGCGTGTTCACTGATGTGTCACAAGCACTAGGGCTGTGTCCCTGGTGTGCAGCGGCTGATCAGCGGCCAAGTTTGGAAAGAATGACTCCACCAGAAGGCGGCAGGAAACGACATTCTGAAATAGTTTCTTTTTTCCTGATGTAGTGAAATGCAGTGGACTCATGGCATGGTTGAAGGGGTATTGGGCTAGGAGCTGGAGGTCTTGGTTTTCAGTGTGGAAACACCATTAGTGCCCATCATTTGTTCAATGTGAGTCCTAAATTGGATGACCTCCAGAGCTTCCCAAAGGGGACCTCCTACGAAAAGGAATAGAGGTTTTTACATTTTATAGGTTTTGCAGGGAGAAATTGCACACCTACACAGAGACGTCTGTGGCCCATAGCTTCTTTCACCTGGGGGGCAGGTCGGTTTGCGACACCTTTTTGATGCCATGTTGCCTTTATGCCTTCCTCACCCTTCCCTACTATTTCTGGTTGTTATAAACTCAGAAGGAGCAGGTTCCCTCAGCTGGAGAAAAGGAGGAAAAAGCCTCATATTTATAATGAGTTCTCTCTTGACCAACAGAGTGAAATGGAGAGAAGAACAAATTTTCAGCTTATGTTTTGACAGCTGTCCCAGTGGTTTTACTTCTTTGTTTAAGAGAAATCCTGAAAATGAAGAGTTAGCAATGGAAAATAATGCCCGTTTTATGCCTCATTTACAACCTTGCATTTTGAGTTATCATTGTCTTCATGGAGGGGATTAATAGAACTGGCAAATATCACCGTTTAAGCAGTTGATTTCCAAGGGATGACAGAAGAGAATGGTTTTTTTCTTTCTTCAATGCTTCTGATGTATCTTTTCGAGTTCATCAACCTATAAGACAACCAAAGTTATTGAATATGTGCTTTGTGTTAGACTCTGTGGGCACATAAAGAAGCTCAGACACTTCAAAGAGATCTGGTCTATTGGCAGGGAGAAGACAGTAAATTGAGCAATGCAAGATTTTAGACCAATTTAAGATGACAGGAGGAGAAATGTGTCTCAAGGCGGTTGGAGATTTTTAGCCACATAAATGGCGCAGAATGCCAGGCTCCCAGCAAACACCACTGGATGTTCAGAGATGATAATGGGCTGCATCCGTTTAGGAATGCTTCAAGGAGATGCATTTCACCTGGGTCTACAAGGCCCAGGGGTGTAGACAGAGAAGATAAATTTAGCACATAATTGAGGTTGTGATAGTTACCAAGGTCTGGGACAGTAACACATGTTGGGAGTAGATGACAGGGTAAGTTTAATTGTAGTCGTTTAGCTTCAACTCCTTTCCTGGCCACCCAAGGCCAGCTGTTACAATACAAAGACGGCTGTGTGAAGAGGACCCTGCCGTGGGGTCTGCACCTTGAGTGGCTCTTTGTGAGTTCAGGGTCTCAGCTTTACACCAGCTATGATCAGTTTAGTCACACACAGTCAGATACTGAGGAGCCATTCCATACCAATTGAATCCGAAAAGTGACCCCTGAGCCAGAAGGCCTCCTAGATCAATGTCTAAGAGCCTCCCAGATGATGGGTGCTGTAGCTCCATGTGTTTTCAGAGGGACTTAGGGGCGGGAGTGCGTGCATGCTCAGTCATGCCTGACTCTTTCCGACCCCATGGACCCCACCAGCCTCCTCTGCCCAGATTTTCCAGACAAGAATAATGGAGCGGGTTGCCATTTCCTCCTCTAGGGGATCTTCCTGACTAGAACTGTGAAACAGGTACAAAGTTTATTATTAGAGACACAGCACAAGGTATGGGAGAGTGCACGAAGAAACAGCTTCTGTTTGAGTCAGAAGCAGGGCAGAAATAGACACCTAAGAGGAGTGTGGCAAAAAGGTGATTTGAGTCTCTTACATAAGACAGTTCTTCCTGGTATTTTTGGTGAGTGTGAGGACTCACTGGTGATTTGAAAGGGGATTCAGCCAGTGTCGGTTCTGCTCTTCTTAGGTGGAGCAGTGTAAAGAATCCTGCCAATGCAGGAGACACAGGTTTGATTTCTGGGTTGGGAGGATCCTCTGGAGTAGGAAATGACAACCCACCCCATTGTTGCCTGGAAAATCCCCTGGATAGAGGAGCCTGTCAGGCTACAGTCCTTGGACTTGCAAAGAGTTGGATACTACTGAGCAACTACCCAATGTCTGTAGGTGGAAAGAACCTGTGGAAATAAGAGTTACTATTTCCCAAACACTGTTGTGTAATGTGTTTTGCAGAGAATATTTCATTTAACTCTCACCACAATCTAGTGAAGTGGGTATGGCTACTTCTTTTTGGTAGACGGGAAACTGAGGCTTAGGGAGATTAAAGGACTTGCCTGAAGCTTCCACAGAGCCTGGTGTAGGGTGCCTGCCCCCTCAGGGAGGCTGCCTCTGTACTAGAGTGCAGGTTACTTCTCTCCAGATGGAGGCCAGTCAAAAGGTTTCACACACCTTTTTTCTAAATCATTGCAGTCGTTAACATCGACTTTTTCCCCTCCTGCTTTCATCTCTCTGGCTAGAAGCTGGGAATCTTTTGATAACCAAAAAACAGTGAACCAAGAAAGGCCTTGCAGGCCCCTTGATTTGTGGGGAATAGGAAAGGTTATTTGCATCTGCATCTATATAGGCTCGTTACTAAAGGGGGGGATTGACTTATTTTATGACTTTCTCTAGGGCAGTGATTACATGTTTACAGGAAATCTAATTATAACTTGCATGTGTGTGCTCAGTCGTGTCGGACTCTTTGCAACCCCATGGACTGTCGCCCGCCGGGCTCCTCTGTCCATGGAATTTCCCAGGTTAGGATACTGGAGTGGGTCGCCATCTCCTACTCCAGGGGATCTTCCCGACCCAGGAATGGAACCCGCATCTCTTGAGTCTCCTGCGTTGCCAGGTGGCTTCTTGACCACTGTGCCACCTGGGAAGCCCCATGTTTCACCTTAATTGGGATACAATGGCACAGGGGTTTTCCTAATCAGTGGAAGACAAGCGAGCAGTGTTCCTAAACATGGGAGCTTGCAGCAGGGGAGTGTGGCGGGTGCTCATCTTCCTTGGTGAGCTGTGTTCACCTTTCCAGAAAGGGCACAGTGAGCTCGACATATCGGTGAGAAAGTCATTGGCTCCAAATAGGCATTTCTTCCAGAATTTTCCATAAAAAATAAGGATCTGAATTTGGGAGCATCAAATTCCAAGACCCAGAATAACCTGACCAGGCACAGATTTCTGAAGGATTTGAGTTATGCTGAAGGTAGATGTCAGAGCGAGACTCTTAACAGTTGAGTGATAATTAACTGCTCGCGCAGTTAATTTCATTCCTTTTCCTGCTCCAGTCAAGGTGTAGCAGCGAAAGTGAAAGTAGGCGTGGAGACCAGAAAGTCCCTGTTCTCATTTGGCATCACATGAATGCGCCTCGTCTCAGAGGGGAAATGTTGGGAAAGGCTTTAAAATAGACCTCTTGATGGTGGGTGACTTGTGGGCCTGATCCCCGCAGCCTGGGGTACCTCTGGATCTCAGGTGGAGAGGATGTGACCCTCTGTCATCCACAGCTTTGGCAGCGGTCCTATTCTCGGCCCATGGCAAGGAGGCCACTGGGGAATGGTCGGGTGGGACAAACAGCGATCTTTCCCCCGTGGTCCTGGCACTAGGGGTTTAATCAGAATCATGTCTGTGGATGAGTGCATAGGCCCTCCTGCAGACACTGCAGAAGGCACCAAAGTCAGTGTGGGATGCAAACGGGCAGAGCAGGGGGAGAGTAAGTTAGAAACTGCAAAAGAGGGACTTCCTAGTGGTCCAGTGGTTAGGACTTTGCCTTCCAGTGCAGGGGCCACGGTTCCATCCCCGGTTAGGGAGCTACGATCCCACATGCCTTGGGGCCAAAAAAAAACAAAAAGCAAAAGCAATACTGTAACAAATTCAACAAAGACTTTAAAAATAGTCAACTTCAAAAAAAATCTTTGTTTTTTAAATTTTGAAAAGAGAAATTGTGAAAGAGAAGTCACAGCTGCCGAAGGTGACCTTGTTGCCCCTGGCTGGGTGTTCTCGGGCTCCTCCCAGTGCTCGTTTGCACGGGCAAGTGGGGCCCTGCAGAGGCTCTGGGCGCATTCTGCCTAGAATGGCCAGGACCCACCAGGGACCTGTGGAAAGCAGGACGGGCCCTGCCGTGTGGCAGCTCTTGGCTGTGAGAGGCACTGGCAGGACACTTGTTTGCTCTGGACCTTTGAGATGAGGTGTTTATCTCCTCTGCTCCTTTTTGGAGAAGATGGCACAGACCAACGGAAGAGTCCACTCCTTCATCTTCTAATGAAGTTTTCTTATATGACTCCCCTAAGGCTTCAACTTCTCAAAGCATTGCCTTGTCATCAAGGCTTCCTAAATAAGCTTAAATTGAGAAATGCCAAATGAATTGGTATATAATTATCTCTGAAAACAAGCCTGTTGCAAAGATAAATCCGGATCATGGAGTCGCATTCTCTCTTCGTCTCCCTGGCAGCACAGTGCAGCGTCCCTTCAGGAAGAATCAAGCTGGGTGAGTTTTAATGGTAATTGCATCTCGAGTTGAAAACTCACCCAGAACGGGCGTCTGCTGCCTTCTTAGGAGGGCTCCATTGCCTCTCTTCTGAGACTCCACGCTTCTGTCACCAACATTACCGTTTGAATGAAGAGATGAATAAATAGAAATTTACTGAGCACCCATTATGTGCCATTCTCTTTCAAATCAGCCTGAGAGGGAAACAATACTGTTTTTCACTTTACAGACAAGACAGTCAAGGTTTGAAAAAGTTACTCCAGGTGGATAACAGAAGCAGAGTTAGAAATGAGGTCCCTTTATCTCTGAGTCACTTGTTTTTCTGCCACAGTCTGCCATGTGTGAAAAGCTACTGATTACCTGCTTGGTCCGAGTGCCAGCGCCATGTATTTTCACGTTCATTGTCTCATAAAACCCATCCTCCCAGTACTCAGTGATGTAGGGGCTTATTTTACTGGTGACAAAACTGAAGTTCAAATATATGATATAACTTGCTCAAGTTACACGGCGTCCCAGGTGGCGCTAGTGGTAAAGAACCCGCCTGCCAGTGCAGGAGACATAAGAGATGGGGGTTCTATCCCTGTATCAGGAAGATCCCCTGGAGGAGGGAATGGCACCCCACTCCAGCATTCTTGCCTGGAGAATCCCATGGACAGAGGAGTCGGGGGGGCTACAGTCCATAGGGTCGCACAGAGTCAGACACGACTGAAGTGACTTAGCATGCAAGCACGCAGGCTCAAGTTACGTAGAGGGCGATTTCTGCGGCCTCTTTAAGGAGTCTCGTCATTGGGAGGGCTGGGAGGAGATGGCTGTTTTACTTTGGAAGAAGTTTGTCCTTTTAAATGACTGAAGCTGTAAGTCACACCAGTGGAGGGGGGCTGTTAGGTAGGAGGAGAAGTATGTAGAAAAAGGACTGGTCTTGTCTTAACTAGCCGCCCATTCCTAAGGAGATGGTGGGTGAATTATCTTCACAGAGGACAGTGGCTGGCTATAGAGCACTTCTGGTACTGACCCGAATACCTGGTGTAGAATCATAGAGGTCAGGGCTGGACTGGGCAGAGGTTTCCTTTTGCCCAGAGGCAGGAGGGACAACAAGCCACAGAGAGGTTGACTTGTTAAGGTCTTCTACTCAGCTGGCCAGCTTCAGGGGAGTCAGAGTTAGAAAAGAGAAAAAGGAAGTGACCAAGCTTCCTTTCAAGAGAGAGAAGCCACTGGGCTCCTGACTGTGTGGAAAGGGCATGACCAAAGACAGAAATGCCCCCATGATTTTGAATGGGATGTGTGATGTGTATTGTGAGTTCAAGTGCTGTTTATCTGTTTGCTTATCGGCCTGAGTATTTCACACAGTTATGCATGTCGGCATTCTTCATAACTCAGCTCGGGCCCAACCTTTGATGCCTGTGCTAATAATGAGGTGGTGTGAAATGACAGAGGTGTGCTTCTGGTCTTCTTACTTCAGGCTTGGTTTAGAGAGAGGGGCAACAGCTAAAGAAGCCTTAGACGTCATTGTCGCCTTGTTGGAAGAACATGGACAGGGTGGGAATTATTATGAAGATGCAAACTCCTGCCACAGCTTCCAAAGTGCATATCTGATCGTGGACCGTGAGGAGGCCTGGGTGCTGGAGACTGTAGGGAAGTACTGGGCTGCGGAGAAAATCACAGGTGAGTGGGGGTAGCTGGTGAGCAGTTTCAAGGACAGGAAGAGCTAAGGCCATGGTGCCTGGACTTACAGACTCTCAGTGCTACATCTGCAGGCTCTAATGTGCTCCTCATTTCTGGGCACCCAGATAGACACATATTTGCACATACATTCCATTATTTTAAAACAATTCATTATCGGGAATTCCCTGGTGGTCCTGTGGTTAGGACTCCATCTGTCATTGCCAGGTATCTGGGTTCAATCCCTGGTTAGGTAACTAAGATCCTACAAGCTGCACAGTGGGGCCTAAATAAATAAATAATTCATTATCAGGGCCACTGTGTTTTTCTAATTGTTTGAACCTGAAAAAAATCTGAATGAAGAAGTACCATATTAAAAAAAATTTTTTTTTAATGTATATATAGATTTGAGCAGAGGGTGGTAGTTAAGCAAGATTAACCTGGTGAGGAAGAATGTCTGGAGCTGCGACATTCATGAGTCCTGTTAGCACAGAGCCTCTTTCTTTCTTTTTTTTTTTTTTGGTCTTTATTTTATTTTATTTTTTTTTCCATTTATTTTTATTAGTTGGAGGCTAATTACTTTACATCATTACAGTAGTTTTTGTCATACATTGAAATGAATTAGCCATGGATTTACATGTATTCCCCATCCCGGTCCCCCCTCCCACCTCCCTCTCCACCTGATCCCTCTGGGTCTTCCCAGTGCACCAGGCCCGAGCACTTGTCTCATGCACCCAACCTGGGCTGGTGATCTGTTTCACCCTAGATAATATACATGTTTCAATGCTGTTCTCTTGAAACATCCCACCCTCGCCTTCTCCCAGAGTCCACAAGTCAGTTCTATACATCTGAGTCTCTTTTTCTGTTTTGCATATAGGGTTATCGTTACCATCTTTCTAAATTCCATATATATGTGTTAGTATACTGTAATGGTCTTTATCTTTCTGGCTTACTTCGCTCAGCACAGAGCCTCTTTCAACGAACCTTTCACTTTTCTCATGGGTAGTAAATGCTTGGGGTTTAGTTTGTCAGGTCAAGTGACTCACTCATTAAAAATGCGATAAAATGTGTCAGGGCTGCTCAAATCTTCTAGGAGATCTTAAAAGAAGACCAAGGACCTTGTGTTTCTCTCTTCAGAAATGGAATTGATTCCTCCATATAGTTAGAGTCAAGTTGCCGGGGAGAGCTGCCCTGTAATGTCCATTTCTTGATAAAGTCTTTATAAGTCTATTTCTAAATAACTGGACTTTGTACTCTTTACAGAGGGAGTCAAGTGCATTTGCAATCAGCTTTCGCTCACGACTAAAATTGACGCAGAGCATCCGGAACTCAGGAGTTATGCTCAGAGTCAAGGTTGGTGGACGGGAGAGGATGAGTTTAATTTCTCTGAAGTTTTTTCTCCAGCTGATGACCATCTAACCTGCTGTTCAGGCAAAGACACCTTAGAAAAGCAAGAAGGTGAGTTGGGGTGTTCCTTACAGTTCTCCCTCTCATACCATCTTGCAGCTATTTCAGAGACCTTGTTTGAACTTAGGTGAATAAGCAAAGAGGCAAAATGGAGAACAGACCTTGTCCTGTATGTGGAAACTGACTTGTGCTAAAGTCCTTGCTGTGTGGTCATATGACCACAACTTGCATTTATTTTTACATGATGCTTTTTTATCCACAGATGTTTTCCTGCTCCCATTTCTCCCTTAAATGTCACTATGCTTGTCTTTGTAACAGTGCAGCCTTGCTTATACCTCAGCATTTGTACATTTGACTTATCTTCTCTATATATTTTCCTATTTTCATTAGCCTGCTGAGTCGTGACATCAGGGGTGTTATCTTCTATTCACCTTAGGATCCCCTTGTGATGCTTGTTATGGCCCTTTGTTCCATGAACACTTGTTGAGTCAAATTGTTGAACTCCTTTCATGAGCCCTCTATTTTACACCCATCATTGACTTAGCCAGAATCTATTTTTAGGTAGATGTGGTGACTGGTAGCTTGTTACTTTTGTGCCTGAGTGGAAAACCTTCCCCTGTAAACCACATTGGCCACATTTTAAACTTGCTGGTGAGACATGTGTTTTGTAAGTCAAGCCTTTGGTGATTTAGAATAGGAGTTGGTAAATTATGACCTGTTGATGGATGCCTGTTTTGTAAATAAAATTTCACTGGAACACAGCCACCCCTGTTTATTTTCCTGTTGTTTATGACTGCTTCCCTACTATGTGGCAGAGTTGAGCAGTTGCAACAAGTCCAGCAGAGATTATAGGGCCTGTGTCTCTGTGTGTGTGTCTCTGTGTGTGTGCTCAGTTGTGTCCAACTCTTTGCAACTCCATGGACTGTAGGCCACCAGGCTCCTCTGTCCATGGGATTCTCTAGGCAAGAATACTGGAGTGGGTTACCATTTCCTCTTCCAGGGGATCTTCCTGACCAAGAGATTGAACACGCGTCTCATGAGTCTCCTGCATTGGCAGGCAGATTCTTTACCACTGAGTCATCTGGGAAGCCTTACAGGCCCCATAAGGCTAAACTATTTCCTGTCTGGTTCTTAAAGAAAAAGTTGGCTGACTCTTAATCTAGAAGAACACTTTAGGACTTTTGCTGTAGAACTTAATTAATATATTCTGAGTAGAAAAGTAAGAAAATACTATTTAAAAATGAGACTCATAAAAAACTACAAGATTTTAATTGAAAAAATCTAACTTGGTGAAAGTATAATATATAATCCCAATTGTAAAGTAGTCCTGCCAAAAATATCCAACGTAGACCTGATGCAGCTTCTGGATCTAACTACTAGTTTGCCAGAAATTCAGAGGATAGAGAAGAACATTAATAACACCATCGGCAAAGTGCATCTTACAAAGTTCAGAGTGTGGGAGACTCAGGAGAAATGGCCCAGCAAGGGGTGGGGGAATGAGAGACAGTGATTAAGAGTTTTAAGAGACATTATCAACCTGTCAGATCCTGGTTTAAATCAACAGATTCATTTTTGAGACAGGGAGGAAGTTTGAACCCTGGATAGTTGAAGAACTCAGGGACTTGCTGTTAATATTTTTAGGTGCAATGTGTTATCCATGGAGATTTACAAAGAGGATATGAGTTGTGGTAGTGAAGTTTAAGTTACTTTTTCCTCATGTGTTGCTTTGATTTGATCTTTGTGAGTACAGATTGAAAAGATACCATTTTAATGAATTACCAACAGAGGGAGAAAGTGAAGAACCAGAATCCTATATAGTAAAAGCTTTGTTAGTCTGTTTATCTGAAGTCAGAGCCAATAGTCCTCATGGTTCTCGATATTTGAAAGACTTCTCTGTGTGTATTTTTCACTGTAGAAGGGTCATTCCCTAGATATAATATTGACTCTAGCCAGCAGGATTATACCAGAGAGCTCGCTTGGTGCTCTGCATAGGTTGTGAACTTTCTTATGAACATCATTCTGTTGCATATTATACTGGTTGAGTAATTACTTAGTGCTGTAACAAAAAGACCCCAAAATAATGTGGCTTTAAAAATGCAGCTTTATTTCTCTTCCACAGTCTAGATGTATATAGACAGTCCAGGTTGAGTGGGTTATTTTACCTCAACATGTGACTTTCTTTTGTGGCCCTCTCAATGGCATCTCCTAGCCAGCAGGAAAGGAGGGAAAAGAGTGAAGGGCTAGCCTTCCTTTCTGTGGATGTGACGGGCGAGTTGCACACATCAATTCTGCTTACCTCTCATTGGTCAAGATCTATCCTGTGACCACGCCTAAAGTAGGGCTGTTCTATTCCCAGCTGTAATTTCAGGGGTTCTGTTAACTCAAAAGGGAAATAACTAATGGATTTTGGTTAGTAGCTTGCTTCCTTCCTCTCTTTTTTCTTTACAGAAAGCATCACTGTGCAGACTATGATTGATGTCCTGCGGGACAAAGCCAGTGGAGTCTGCGTAGATTCTGAGTCTTTCCTCACCACAGCCAGTGCCGTGTCTGTCCTGCCTCAGAACAGAAGCTCACCAGGCATCCACTACTTCACTGGGACCCCAGATCCTTCCAGGTTTGTCTGAGACATAGTCACACAGCCGGCAAATGTGCACTTCCCTTGAGAGCTCACCCAGTAATCACATCCTAAGTTCCTGCCCTTCCCTATATATACAGTCACGTTTTTCAATATCGCCATGGCCAGTGCAGTACAAGAACTGTGAGAAAGGGAAGTTCTTGGCTTTTATCATGTCATGTTCATCACAATCATGGAATCAAATTGTTTTAAATTCAACAAACATTTATTAATATATATTATGGGCCGGGCATTGTGCTGTATATGAGGGATGCAAAGATAAATAAACTCAGTGAGACAGAAGAGATACAGGAAAGCTCAGGATTGATCAGAAGCACCAGTTGCTTTGAGTTACAGGAAAAAATGGCCCAGAGACGAGGCACATTGCAGCCACTTCAAGGGCACTGGCCTCTTCTCTAAGACATTGTGTTTTAGGGCATTGCTTCCTGCCCACACACTTCAGCAAAGGGCTTGTGGCCTCTAGAATAAACCACCTGAAGTTGAATTCCACCTCTATCACTTAGTATTAATAGCCGCTAAGTCCCTTGACCTCTCTAAGCTTGTCTGTCCTATACAATGGACACAATCCCAGACCATACTTTTATGTGCTTGTTGGGAGGATTAAATGAGATAATCCAAGTAAATGTGTAACAGGATTTTTTTGTTTTTTTTTATGCTGGGTCATATGGCAGTTCTATTTCCAGCTTTTTAAGAAATCTCCACACTGTTTTCCATAGTGGCTGTACTAATTTGCATTCCCACCTTGTTGGGAGGATTAAATGAGATAATCCAAGTAAATGTGTAACAGGTTTAGCTATTATTTTAGACTGTCTCTGGTCTACCTGGCAGGCAGCAGCCCTTCTCAGTAACTTTCAGTCCTGCACACCAAGATCATGCCATTGGTAACTTAGACACAACCATCGTGACTTCTAAATGGTCAGAATCACTTGAGGGGAGTTTTTGAAAAATACAGATGTCTTGACCCAGACCTTTTGTGTCAGGAATTTTAAGGTGGGCTTAGGAGTCTGTCCAGTAAGTCTGATTCCTCAGCCTGGAGGGCTCTAGAAGACTGTCCATTCCAGTAGGATCTCTGGTATTTTTCATGTGTTCCATTGTCTGAAAACCATCATTATTTGAGTACTAGGTGTCAAACCTTTGACTCTGCTACCAGGGAATCTGTAGCTGTTTGATTTCATTCCCTTTCCAGCTGGAAATACTTACTCTCCCCTCATTGTTTCAGGAATACAGACAATGGCAGTGCCCAGCTAGAAGCTGTGTCTTAGATGACTCAGGGGAGAAACCAAGTACCTTTCCTGACTCCTTGGCCTCAGTTCAGTTCAGTTGCTCAGTCGTGTCCAACTCTTTGCGACCCCATGAATCGCAGCATGCCAGGCCTCCCTGTCCATCACCAACTCCCGGAGTTTACTCAAACTCATGTCCATTGAGTCGGTGATGCCATCCAGCCATCTCATCCTCTGTCGTCCCCTTCTCCTCCTGCCCTTTGGCCTCACTGTCCCAATAAAGGTAGATCTTTATAGCAGGACCTATTAAATCCTGTGTAAACTATCCTTAGTTTTTCATTCACTTGTTTATTCATTGAATAAGCACTTGTTAGGCACCTGCTGTGTACCAAATATTATGCTTATTGCATGCTAGAGACTGTTTACAAGATAAGAGGTGGCGCAAAGGCGACAGTGAAGGCGGAAGTCCACAGAGGAGGAACTCTTGAGCACTGGTGTCGTGAGAGGAGGGGCTTGTTCGGTGTTGAGAGCGGGAATGACGTTCTGGGTGGGAGGGAACAGCATGTGCAGAGGCCCAGAGGCATGAGCCAGCATGGCACCCCTTGCGGCTGTGCATCCTCTTGTGGTTTGAGTTTCCACCCCCTCCCCACTCCCCCAGGACCTCCAAGCCCAGCGTGGGCCCTCTGCTGGCCTCTAACCAGGAGCCTCACCCACTCACCAGTATTCCAGGCACCTCTCAGGACAAGCCTCTTGTTTGACTCTGGCTTCTTTCTCTTGATTTTATCTCCCAGTTAGGAATGCCTGGTTCTGTGACCCCCCTCCCACCCCCTTTTCCGTCTATCAGATCTGGGGCTTGTCCTTCCCCTCCCTTGTGGATGCTGACCTTGCTTGCTGGTGGCTTTTGTGAGCACTCTGTGCTGGCCCACAGGGATACGTGTTGGCTTTCAGAGTCTGTCTGGAACATCCTGTCATGGTCTTTAGACATTATTCTTCAGGGAACAGGAGCCTTTGAAGGAGCAGGTTGAACTGAAGAGTGACCACAACGGCCCCCTTGGTTCCTGACATCTCAGACACCTGCTCCAGCTGTGCTTAGAAGAGAGAGCTTTGTGGTGCCAGGACGTGAAGATAAAGTAATTCTGTTTCCTAGGCTATAGGACACAGCCCAATGCAATTCTAAAAATGCGCTGAAAAATAGCTTTCTAATATCTAAAAGTGAAAATTTCAAGTAATTTTAAAAGAAAATTATTCATGGTTAAATTAATTGAGCAGACCTTAAAGGCTATTAAGGGCTTCCTGGAAGACATTCATTTTTATTTTCTACGGTTAAATGAACTACATTGCCTACTGTGACTATAGAACTGTCTTTGTTTTTTTTTCTTCTATTCAACATTTCAATGTTTCTTTGTAATTGGATATCCTCACCATTTCACCATTTTGTATTTTGTCAGCAGGAAGCATAATTACCTACTCTTGGGTTTTAGGTAATAAAATTAGGGAAATTTTAGCCGCTTCTGCTAATGCTAAAAACATTAGAGAGATGTTTGCAGGAAATAGTTTCAGAGCAGTGGCCTTGCAAAAGATTATGATCAAAGACTGTTCTTTATCCTCCCAATTAATGTTAGAAACCAAAGGACATGATCTTACTGTTGTTCTGTCCGCTTCAGCACTTCTTGGCTCTTTGCTCACTATATTAATTATAGATCCTTTTCTCAAAATAGCTTGTTCCCATAGTCCCCTTTTTTCTTCCTCCTTCCCCCCTCTCTCTCCCTCCTGATTTGTACCAGGTATTATGTAAGTTTGAGAGTTGGAGGCAGATACAAAAGCCAGAATTTGAGAGATAGAGGGAGATGCAGAAGAACTTTAATTTTATTGAGTAGGCAAATTCCATCATGTGATATATTCTGATAAGTCAGCTGGTGCCTCGATCATCCATATAGTGACACTGATTGGCTTTAGTATACCAGTTCTAACCATTTGCTTCGTGGAAGGCAATATCTGTTAAAGCTTCATTGATATGAAGGATTGGGAAGGGAAAGAGCAGAGAGGTAGCTTTGCATTTTGAGACAATGTAATTTCCAAGTTCCATTGCTGTGCTGGAGTTTGTGAGAGCTGATGATGTCCTTCCTGTCTTCCCAACCCTGTGTTCAGTAATGTCACACAGGTAGCTTGAAAAGGGCCCCATTGAGTGTGTTTATACTGTGGAAATCAGCAGACACTATGAATTAGGGCTTATTGCTTCCACTACTTAGAAGCTCTCACATCTGAGAAGACACACAAATATTCAAGATACAGGAGGATAANTGTCCTGTCTTCCCAACCCTGTGTTCAGTAATGTCACACAGGTAGCTTGAAAAGGGCCCCATTGAGTGTGTTTATACTGTGGAAATCAGCAGACACTATGAATTAGGGCTTATTGCTTCCACTACTTAGAAGCTCTCACATCTGAGAAGACACACAAATATTCAAGATACAGGAGGATAAATCAAGTGGAGGAAAGATTTAAAAGTGTTTCCATTTTAAATGTTAGAAGGCTATTTCCCAACCCATTCCTTTAATTGCATTAGGCCATGTAATTCAGCCTGGAAAACAGAAAATAGGGAGGAAATTCTAGGAAAAGAGGGTCTTTGACCCACTTTATGGCAGGGAACTGGAGAGATGCAAAGGATACAGGGTGTGTGTGTGTGGTGTTTGCTTCCTCTTTTCCCAGGTACTAGGCTTGAGTGTCTACATTGCATCAGTTGAGACTGTTCCATCTGGTTAATTAAAATGTCAGGGACAAGTGGAACCTTTTCATTATTGGAGATAATGTTATAGACACTGTGGTTTATGTAAATACAGGGCTGCAGCCTGCATGGATGATACCCAGCTGAGGACCTTGTGTAAAATAGCCCTTTGATTTCATTCCTAACTCTCCCAACAGTATCTTTTTCCTCTCTTCCACCCCGTGGTTTTGACTTCTGAAAACCTCCCAGAGTATCTGGATCCAGCCCAAAGGGTGTCCCAGGCTCCAGAGGTATTAGTTTTCTTTCCCTCTAAATGAAAATGCCCTTCACAGGTAGGTTGTGCTCTCAGCCAGATGTGGCTTTAGTTATGTGATTTAAGTGATTCACAGCCTAGCTGGGATGACCCATGGATGAACCATTCAGAGGGACACATGCAATTGAGGGAAACTGGTTCTTCCAGGCCCATATTGGATCAGTTTAAAGTTTAGCAGATTCATCCAAGCAGGAGCCTTTATGCTGCTGTTTTTGTGTGAGCAGATCCACCGGGGACTCTGGGGCAGAAGTTAAGCCCATCACTCTGGGAGTTTCTGCATCATCAGTAAGAACACAGCCATGTTTGAAGTAAGAAATGTGAGCTGGCCAGTGATACTAGAGTTCTGTGTCAGAGTCAGCCATGAACCGCTCTTGGGGTGCTCAATATGAGTGATAAACTGGGCCCACCCTAGCTGGGTGTGCTGGGAGGGGTGGTCATGACCCACAGGCAGTTCAGCTTTGCCGCTGGCTGGGTATATGGCCTTGATCAAGTCATTTCATCTCTCTGAACATACGTTCATTCAAGTGGCATTTAAGAAACTACCATCTGAGGTTCACTTTTGGGAAAATGTCAGAGTATGTTCTCACCTACTTGGATTTTTAATGTGATTTTCTGTAATGTTTGGTAAGAAATCAAAACATTTGGAAACCACTGAGTTTTCCAGGTTGCCCTTTTCTGGATCTATAGACATAAGTGATCAGGATGGAATTATAGATGATTCCCACATTCTGGTATGTTATTGCAGTTTATTATGGCAATAATTTTATTTATTCAGTCTCAAAAAAGAATCTCCCTTTAGCCATTTGATGGTAAAATAATCCAGCTGCCAGTGCGGGGGACACAGGTTCAGTCTTTGGGTCAGAAAGACACCCTGAAGGAGGAACTGGCAGCCCACTCCAGTATTCTTACCTGGAAAATCCCGTGGACAGAGGGGCCTGGAGGGCTACAGTCCATGGGGTCGCAAAGAGTTGACACGACCAAGTGAGTATAACCACCTGGCGAATATATACTTCATGTTTTTAGCAGCTTAGGATGCTGAGTTCCTTACAGACTTTGGAAAAAAAGTTCTTGGAGGACTTTGGCTGCTTTAGAATATTATAGAAACCTCATCATATTATTAACTTACTTATTTTTAAAGTTAAAATGGATGGATGGGAGGGATAAATATATAGTCCCTCCTGTATTAACATGCCACAGACACTCTCTCACTAACCTCCACATGCCAATGAATGTGGACTGGCTTGGGGTTCCATCAGTCAGCGGGTTTTGACTTTTTTTTTAAACTCTGCTGTTATCTTGTGTATTGGGTGCAGAAGACCACAACTGTGCTTACCATGAACTTCTTGAAAACACAGGTTCATAAGCCTCATGACGTAGAAAGAGAAATAGCACAATAGCTTTAGCATCTGAAAGGGAGAGATCATTTTAGCCCATTGAGAGACAGAGAGGAAAAATGATGGGCCCCACAGCTGATCAGAGGTCAAGCTGGGACGCAGACCCGCATTCGGAGTCCAGCCTAGTTCGCTGCCCTGCTGTGGTGAGGCAGGCAGACCTGGACAGTTGCTCAGGAGGACCCGGTGCCATGGTTCTCCCCATGGGGCCAGTTTCAGGATGGTCCTGAGCCGCATAGTAAGTAAAGCACAGAGTTCCAAAAATTAAATGACAGGCTTGCCTATGAAACATTACTCGCACCGGGACTTTTGAGAGGTGGAGAAGAGAGGCTCAGTTCGGGAGATTGTATGGGATACAGAAATGAGCACCGTCTGGCCTGGGGCCAGTGTGAAGGGCCCCTGTCCCAAGGGGTCTCCTCAGCAGCCCGGGCTCGGCGGCTCTGCTAGACACTGCCGATCCCCTGCCTCGCCATGGTTGAGCCTGCCCCAGCCTCACCACCAAGTCCAAGCTGAAGCCAACAGGAGCCCTGGCTCTGACCCCTGTCTGTGCAATGCCAGGCATAGGGAGGAGGTGTGAACTATGCAGGCTCGGGGCTGCAGGGTCCCTCAAGGGATCTCAGTGCAGGCCAAGGAGGCTGCAGGAGGCTTCCAGTCTGCTAGAAGACGGTGTATGCGCACTGAGTTTTCAGGAAACCCCGAGGGCTGTCAGGCCCGGAAGGGTAGGATGCTTGCCTGCTCTGAGGCTGCTGTGTTGTCTGAGACCAGAGGGGCCTGGAGGCAGTTAGTTCTGGATGTCTGTCTGCTGGACTCTGCCTTATCACCGCCTCTTCTATCCCTCCCCATTCATTACCCTCTTCTAGTAAACCCTCAAAATGCCCTCAACCAAATGATCAGTTGGAGAATTCAACTCTATGGGATCAAAATTTTGTAGACATTTTAAAATTTTGCATTATTTCCTTCCACTTTGAACACTCACCCACTTGACATTCAGGAGGAGGAAAGAGAAGTGCTGCATTTTCAGGAGGCAGTACCAAGTGGTAGTGAGTGTTACCTCTGTATAAGGTGGCTCCTGATATCTCAGGGAGGGAAGGATTTTGGGAGGACTTGGCCTTGTGGAGTTAGGTCCAGCCCATGTGCCTAGACCTCATACTTTTCGGTGGACAGAGCCCGTTTCCTGTGTGTGTTGGCATCACCAGAGAGAAGAGAACTTAACCAGTCCCACCTGCTTCACCTGGTAGCCTCTCTGCTGGCTCAGACAGTTAAGAATCTGCCTGCAATGCAGGAGACTCTGGTTCAATTCCTGAGTCAGGAAGATTCCCTGGAGAAGGGCAATGTAACCCTCTCCAGTATTCTTGCCTGGAGAATCCCATGGACAGAGGAGTCTGGCAGGATACGGTCCATGGGGTCACAAAGAGTCGGACACAACTGAGCGACTAAACTCATTTCACCCACTTCACAAGCTTAGGGTGCAACTGCTTTCAGTATTCAAATGAAATTAAGATGAGCTTAAGTATCTTTCATGCTGTGATCAGGGTCTTTATCTCACCTGAGTCCTTGTCCCTTGATAACCTCAGGGAACTAATGTGAGGGGTCGCTGCTGGTTACTCTTGTCTCTGGTCCTGCTCCTCAGACTTGGATGTCATCTGTCCCCTGGAGACCTTGTCAAGCAGGTTCTGGTCAGCAGGACGGGGCCTGAGGGTGATACTGATGCTCAAGTCCAAGGACACAGTTCAGGTGCAAGGGTCACGGGTTCCCGGTGCTTTGCAGGTGGTGGTGTATGTGAAAATGTGTGGCACACTGGGAAAGCTGCTTTGGCTGCCTCTAGCCTGGGGACCTCGGGGCTCAGGGATTCAACTTCCCAGCTCACTTCTCACCCATTGGAGGCACAGAGTGGGTCAAGATACACTAAGTTAGGAGGACAGAGAATAACCCTAGTCGAGCCATACACCTGGGTGTGGGTATGTCTCATTCTCTCTGACTGTTTTTGCAGGTGCCCCCGTGGTGTGATTGAAAACAGGCCACTCTCGGGGCCCAGAAGTGCCTGTGCTCCCCCAGAACGCTGTTTTGATCCAGCTATGTTCTTGCTGGGTGCAGAGGCGGGAGAGGAAAGCTGTCTCCCTGCTGTTGTAGTCAGCTGCGGTCGCCACAGACCCCATCGGCCTAGAGTCCCAAGATGCAGTTTCTTAGATACCCGGCTGTTTCAGGGTGTGTGCACATCTGGAGGGGTGTGTTGCTGTGTGCCCAGAACATGCACAGGTATATACATGCATACATGTGCACACACACATGGGCACTCGCATACAGAGCTGTGTCCCCTGAGTTACACCCCTTGTGCCAAAAGAGCCGAATCAAAGAGTTCTTGCTTCAGCTGCCTACTGTGCCCTCGGCTGCCCTCTCACACAACCAGACTTCTGTTCTCTATGGTGTGCCCTCTCTGGGGCCCCTGGGATTCTGTTTTGGTCATCTGTCTTCATCTGTGCCCTCCTTGGGTCTGTCAGAGATATTCCAAACATTTTCAAATAAGGTAGAACCTAAAAAAAATAAAGATGAGATCTCAGACCCTGCCTTTCCAGGGGGCCTCTTTCTGTGGACCATGGTGGCAAAAGACTAACTCAGATCGGTGGCCCATTGTGCCCTTTGCTCAAAGCCCCATGTGTGTGTTCATGGAACTGAAAGGAGCTCTCAAATGGCCTTCCCAGAACAAAGCTAGTCTGTGTTGATGTCTCCTCACTGTAAATAGAACACTTTGCAACTTATAATTGGCAGTTAGTTTTATTAAAACAGTCACTAAAATATGCAGTTGGCACTCTCTCTCTTAGGAGGCACCCACCCACCACCCACCAGGAACTGACCCCGGGAATGTTTGCTGTCCTCACGCCCTGAACGTGGTTTGGCTGAAGCACTCTCCTTTCTCTCCAGGTCCATATTCAAGCCTTTCATCTTTGTCGATGATGTAAAACTAGTCCCCAAAGCACAGTCTCCCTGTTTTGGGGACGATGACCCAGCCAAAAAGGAGCCTCGGTTCCAGGAGAAGCCAGACCGCCGGCACGAGCTGTACAAGGCACACGAGTGGGCCCGTGCCGTCCTGGAGAGTGACGAGGTGAGCCTGGCTGGGGGCCCTGGAGCGGGTGAGGTCACCGGGAAGGAGACCGGAAAGCGGATAACAAGCTCATCATTCTCCTCCTCTCCAGCTAGTCTGCTTCCAGAAACCCAGGCTCCCGAAGCCCTCGCTAGAATGCTGGTGGTAATTGTTCCAGCCAGCCTCTCAAAACCCAGTGAAAGCAAGCCTCCACTTTTGATGTTATTCAAAATGCAGTGGCCTAAGAATATCCCTCTTTTACTTACTGTCCACCTGGGAATAACAAAAATGTGCAGTACTAGTCGGGAAAACTGGTTTTCTGCAGTCAGAAATTCTCTGTATATTTTTGGAGGTAAAAAGTTGTATTATGGCAGCACTTTAAAGATGGAATCATAGTTTTTTTTGTGTTTTTTTTTTAAGTGATTCTTCAAAAAAATCCCTGGAGATGGTTGATGGTGATGGTTGCATCAGTGTGAATGTATTTATGCCACTGAACTGTATGCTTAAAAATGGTTAAAATGGTAAATTTTAAATTTTGTATATTTTTTTCTTGTAAAAAGTTTTTAAATTAATTGTCAGTTTTAAAACAGTTATTCTTCAAAGTGCAACCCTCCCTCCTCCACCCAAAACTTTGGTTACTAAAGTTACATTATTTCAAACAAGAGAAATATTCAATATATGCCCATAGCTGCTGTTAGTGATAGGCTTTCAAGTAAAATCCAAGCCTATATATTTTTTAAACAATTTTGGCTGTGCTTGGTCTTCATCGCACTTTTCTCTCTAGTTGTGGAATGTGGGCTCTAGAGTACAGGCTCAGCTGTTGTGGCACACGGGCTTGTTGCCCCATGACATGTGGGATCTTAGTTCCCTGACCAGGGATTGAACCTGCGTCCCCTGCATTGGGAGGGGGATTCTCAACCACTGGACCACCAGGGAAGTCCCTCCAGGCTTCTATTTCGCTGACAGAGAAGGAAGGAACGTAGTTGTTAGATGCTTATCTGCTTCCTAAGCATTTATTTAACAACTTGTAAAATTCCATTTTGTCTTGAAAAGAGGGACATCTTATAGGGAATTGGTGCACACATTTTGCATGGACTGGGTAAGCTTATTCTCTTCCATCTGGTATAGTGGACTTTCTAAAAAGGCTATAAAGAAGGACAACATCAACAGTAAATCCAAGTGAGTTCAGAAATCATCTCCGAGAAGAGTAGTCTCACTGTTTCTAGAACTTGCTCTTCTGTGCCCCAGAAATGACCGTCTGACATGTAAAAGTCACACAGTTCCTTGATATTTGTCCTACCTGCCAGATGTGTCCCCGGAACCAAAATGCTGCCCCTGCACTGTGTGGAGCTCTGTCCAGGGCTGCCTGCCCTGCTTTCTGATGGTGCATGTTTTAGGTGGATGACAGTTAACCTGAGTAGGGGGAAAATGTCACTCCCTGATGCGCTGTTTTCTGGTTATTTGGCAAATGAAGGCAGGGGTAGGAAGGCCCAAGTGTTCTGAGGCATCCTACACAAAATTTCCAAGAGATGAGATAGATGAGGCTGGGTGGACTTTGAAATTTGAAAATGACCATTGGTTTGAGTTAAGGCAGCACTGGGAGATGGTGGATGAATGTTGACATCTGTTTCTCTGTTCTGGGACTAACTGGACAAACGAAAGCTTCTCACTGTCACCCACTGTGAATGAGTGACTCTCATTTAGAAGGAGAGATGTCACCCCTTCAGAAGAAAAAGTAAATTGGGGATAGGCATGCCATTCATGGATCCATTTGTTCATTCAAAAGTCATTGTTGATAGTGCCTCTTCTGTCCCACGGAGGAACGTAGAGATCCACCTAGTTCTTACTCCCTGGGTGATTGTGGTCTAACGGGGGACACAGGCGAGTAGACAGACCATCACAAGACAGGAAGAGAACAGCCATGGCAGAAGGAAAGGCATTGGATGGGGGAGCCCAGAGGAAGGGCATTCTGAAGGTGGGCACGAGCTGACCAGGTGTTGGCAGGGAGCAGGGTGGCCTGTGCAGTGGCGAGGAGGAGTATCAAGGGTTGGAGGAAGGCAGCTAATTCAGTCTGGCTGCAAAGAAAGGAGATGCAGGAGGCAAGGCAGGAGGTGACAAGCAGGAGCCAGGGGACCGCACAGGGCCTTTTCCACTGTCCCTCAGGAGTCTGGATTGCATCCTGAATGCAGTGGGAGCTCTGTAAGTATTCCAGGCAGAGCAGTGACATCGCCACGCTGGGACTTTAGAAGCACCCCGTGGCCGTCCCGCACTGAATGGAGTGGGGTGGGCCCTCGGGGCTTTCAGCATCCTCTGCAGTGGCCCCCACTCTTTTCGTCCTTCTCAGGAGCAAGGTCAGAAGCTGAGGAAGACAATGCTGGAACTAGAGAAGCAAGGCCTGGAAGCCATGGAGGAAATCCTGACCAGCAGTGACCCCCTGGACCCCGCTGAAGTGGGGGATCTCTTCTATGACTGTGTGGACACGGAGATTAAGTTCTTTAAGTGAAGTAAGCGTTCCCTTTCCCCTTCTTATTTAAAACTTCCCACCTTACTAAATTACCAGCAAAACAAACCACTCTCCTGTCCGAGTAAAATGAGAAAGTTCAGATGCGTCAAAGTCACACTGTCCCCTTGTGTTCTGCCTTGAACCTCACAACGCCGCCCCCTTCTTCTGCAGCGTAGATCCCCTCCTTCTGCAGTGTATAATGTGTATCCCCTTGCCTGTTGTCCGATCGTATGACTGTGGATTTTAAGCTGCTATTATTGTATTTCAGTGACAATGGACACATTAGCCTTTTCATGGGAGGACTAGAGTCCATCAAAGCCGTGAAAGACAGGCTCCTTGGCGCCGAGTTTGCGGGAAAGGCAAAATCTCTTGGTCTTACTCTTTGAGTAGCGGTTTCTTTCAGGTTAACAAAAGGCGTTTGTCTGGCCCTGAGCTCTTCTCTGTGTGTGCCGGAGGGAGGCTTCCACTGAGTGCAGGCCAGTAACGCAGAATGCCCCCAGCTGTGTCTTCTGAGATGCAAAACAAGTGGGCAAAACAAGTGGGAAGGAATGAAGGGGGCTCTGCTGACTCCAGGCACAGCTCCATCCGGATTCTCTTGATCCGAAAGAACCTGTGCACGGTGGTTGTGTGTGGTGGATCCACACAGACGGCTTCCACCTGCTGTGTGAGCTGGAACCTGCCCCACCCCGCCCCCACCCCCGTAGGGATTCCGGGGGGCTGCACGTAACACTCCTAATCCGGGCGTGGCTCTCCTACAAGGCGAGGGGCTGTCCCTGCTGCTCACCCGCCGCGCAGATGCGCTTGTGTCTTGAAGTGATTCTGGGCCTAGTTACTGCCATCTAGTTTAGAATTAATTAAATGGCCCTGTGGCAGAGTTCCACCCCACAAAGCTGCAAATTTCTCAGCTAATGAGGGAAGGAAAAGGAGAAACTTTTGGCTGTTTAGATTCTAGTTAAAGTAGCTGGAATCTGAGCAGCCACCCCATTATCTCAGCAGAGACTTTAATTAAACTGATTTGTTTCCCATGTTGTGGGCGCATGAAGGATCTAACTTACCAGCAGAGCTCAGGAGAGCATGCGAAGAAGAACAGATGGGCTCAGCACAGGAAGACAGAGGGCAGGAAGGCGACAGATGGATGGAGAAGCATTTCGCTCCAGGGGACAGTGCCACCCTCGCCTTCCTGCCCAACCCTGTCACAGCCCACAAAGCTGTGGAGAAAGCACCTGGCTTGCCCTGATCTTTCCCTTTGTTCTTCGCGCCCCACATGGCCAGGTAGCCACTTTCAGGCTAGTAGCTGAAGTGGGCAGGTGGTGGTGGTGGCAGGGTCTTACCTCCAGCTATTGAAACTCTCAACCACTCTTGACATGGACAGAGGCAGCGATGAGGAGGAGAGGTGTGCATGTTAATATAGCAATGGGTGGGAGGGCTTCGGCTTCATGTCTCCAGCTTGACCTGTACCGTCTGGGCCCAGTCACCTTCACTGGTGATAGGTATTTGCAAATGGAAATAATATGAGTGCTAGGAGTCAGAAATGACTTCCAGTTAGACTCCTTTTCCAGCTGCAATGTATCATATGCCATGAGAGCTGGAGAGGAATTGGGCCCCAGACACAGACGTAGACACAGGGTCACAGGTGTTACTGGAACAAATCTTTTTTTCTACTAGCTCCCCTCTAAGAGTGTAGGCATAAGAGCACTGTGAGTTTTTTGCCCAGAAGTTTTGAAAATTCTGTATATAAAATCACTGTGAGTGATGAGACATGGGAGCAATATTTGAGCTGAAAAAATTAACAGTGACTGTTCCCAGCAGCTTGTGGTTGCTGAATTTTGTCCGGGTTTGGCCTGAGCTTTCAGTGAGAGCTTAGGGTCTCCTCTTAGGTGGCATGGCCATTCTGAGAGCGTCTACAGCTGCTGAGTGGGGAAGGGCAAGCCTTGAGGATGACACAGGCACCTCATCCCCTCCCAAGCCCACCTGCTGAGTGGTTCTTTAGAGCAAGATGATGCAAAAAGCCACTACAGAATTCTACCACGTGGTCTCTCCTTCCCCTGTCATAGAAACAGTTCCTCAGACCTGGCATGTCTGAGATACCCAAGGTGATTAGGGGTTTGAGCAAAAGAAGTCTAGTGAGAATAAATTACCCAGAGGCCCAGCTTTCATTATTATGGGCCAAGCAAAGGTCACGGACTACCCAGCCAGCCTTATGCCATTACCCAGCCACTGTGCAGTGGGAAACAACAATGACCAATTCTGTTAAGGACATTGACCTTAGCCCAGCAACCCAGAAAAAGGCCAACCACAGCTAGAGGTCTGTGGGTTAACACTATTATCACAATTGTGATGCCACTGTCTTACCACTAGAGGGCGGGGCAGCCCTTTCGTGGCAGAAGTTAAAGAGGCTGGGATGCTTTTATTAGACCTGTACAGAAGTGTACAGTTAAAGCTTGAATAATAGCAGTGGAGAGGTTCTTTGTGCATTGGGATGCGTGGGGAAAGACAAGAAGAGAGCAAAGAATCTGCTGATGCGGATGTTCAGTTCTAGCAACAGTAACAGTTTGAAATATGCAGTTGGATTTTGAGGACACTTGCTGGGGGGGAATGTTTGTTTTTAAATGCTCCTAACAGACTCTGTTTTTGAAAAATGCTTATCATTACGTGGATAATTTCTTGACCAGGGATTGATTTTCTAAAGGCAGTATGGGGAAAATGAATATATGCAAGGTGAACTATGAAAATTAATGTTTAGAGGTCAGTGTGTAAATAGCTTCCTAAAATACCGTTTGTGTATCCATTACAATCTGGGGGACGGGAGGGGACTGTGCACGCCGTGTGCAGAAGGAAGACGTGGCCTTGAAGGACAGACTCTCTCCCCTGTTCTCACGCCCCGTAACCACACATAAGCTAGTTAGTCTTGGCAGTAGATGGGATTTACCACTCACTCTGAGGAGGAGCAGAAGCTCCACTAAAAGTAAATTAGCACAGCAGAAGTAGTACTCTTTCATCCTTGGAGATGGTTTGGAATTTTAGGTAGAATAAGGACATACTTGAAATTACGGTGATTCTTTAGTGCCCAGTAACATAAGACAGTGTTATTATTAGAAAGAGTCATTCTTATAAGCTAACAGAGCAAGTCTGTGCCTATTAGATATTAGCAGTGAAGTTCCTTCACTTTTGGATGGATTTATTAGGTGTAAAAAATAATTATCAATGAGGCAAACTCTGCTCACCTGTCCTCCCAGGTGGGTCCGGTTGTTACAAAGTTCTGCCCAGCCCAGCAGGAAAGCCAGATGGGGCCAGTGTATCTGTTGAGAAACCACTGACTGCGTTCTTGACTGAGGGGTAGTCCAGGCGTTTCTGGGGAAGGTCTTCAGCTGAGCTTCCCCAGGAGGGAGGGAGGGGCCGGGGGAGGGCCGGGCGGCGGGTCACGCAGCCCAGCACCGCCTGTGCTTCCCTGTAGTCGCGGCCTTTCATTGCACATGGTCTTAAGTCCCAGCTCCTCTCCTGTGGTTTGTGTCAAACGTGCTTTATCTGATTGAATCCAAACATCCTAAGATGTCACATGCGGATTTCTCGTGGGGATGAATATGTATATGTTTGCGGTCCTGTTGTGAGAAGTTAAATGTGCGAGCTGAAAAGCGCTAGGGGCAGGGAATAATAAAAAAGGAGAACCTTTCTGTTTCCTGCAGTGGGAACTGACTGTGTCGTCTTAATAGCCTTTTGTACAAATATCTACCAACCAGATAACTTTCCCATCCAGTGCTTGCCCTTGGAACTGTCTCTAAATACATCAAACATACAATAAAAAAGTACTGAGATTAATGTCCCTTGGCCTCTTCTATCTTGTGTTTCATTAATAAATGCGAGCATTGGCCATAACATAGAAAATGTATGAAAGGGGATATGTTTTATGACTGGAATCTTTGGAAAACCCAATCAGTTAAGCGTTTTCTTCATTTATCCATTGTGTGGATAAATTCACTCTTTAAAATAAACACAAAACTATGACATACTACCTCACACCTGTCAGGATGGTTATCAAGAAAACAGAAAATTGCTTTTGGTAAGGATGTGGAGTAATTGTAACCCTCTGCACTGTTGATGGGGACATAAAATGGTAGAGCTGATATGGAAAACAATATGGAGGTTTCTCAAAAAATTAAAAAGAATTAAGCCATATAAGCCAACAATTTTATTTTTGAGTATATACTCAAGAATTGAAGGTGGAATATCTCAAAGAGACTTTTTTAATTCCCATATTCATACTAGCATTAGTCATAATAACCAGAAGGTGGAAGCAAGCCAAGTATCCATCAGTGAATGAATAAATGATACGTATAGCCAAGCAATGGGATATTCAGCCTTATAGAGGAAGGAAACTCTTGACACATGCTACAACATAGATGGGCCTCGAGGACATTATGCTAAATGAAATAAACCACTCTCAAGAAAAGTCAAATATTATTTGATTCCAGTTTTATGAATTACCAAGAGTAGTCAATCTCATAGAGCCTGAAAGTAGAATGGTGGTTGCCAGGTGCTGGAGGGCTGGGAAGGGAAATGGGGAGTCTTTGTTTAAGGGGTATTAAGTTTTGCAAGATGATAAAAGAGTTCTGGAGACTGGTCACACAACACAGTGAATTTGTTTAACACAACTGAACTGTACACTTAAAAATTACTAAAATGGTAAATTTTATGTTAATGGGTATTTTACCAAATTAAAAAAATCAGCAATGGCTGGTGCCATCTATGCCAAGCATCTTTATTTTAAAGCCGTAGAAACTCCATTAGGGGAAAGGATGCCACTTAAGAAAGAAACCAGCTCTTCCCACTCTTGTGACCTAGAAATGCCAGGTTACTTCGATGATTCTGTCTCCATGTGACAGGGAAATGCAACCGAATGTCTTGTTCTTGAAAATAGGACTTAGTCACTGGCAACCAATGACCTATGTCAAGGTCAGAGTAAATGACGACCCCGTTTATATGACAAGGAACTGCTGACTCTATTTTTATTCTCAGCTCTTTTTCCACCAACATAAACTCCTGCAAAGTTCCAGGGTAACAGAGTGTGTATTAGTTTGCTAGGGCTGCCATAATAAAGGACCACAAACTGGGTGGCTATTTATTATCTCACAGTCTGGAGGCTAGAAGTCCAAGATCAAGATGTTGGCAGAGTTGGTTCCTTCTGAGGGTTGTGAGGGAGAACCTGTCCACTCTTCTTCCCTACCTTCTGGTGGTTTGCTGGCAATCTTCAGCATTTCTTGACTTGTAGAAGCATCACCCTAATCTCTGACTTCATATAGCATCCTTACTGTGTATATGTCTGTGTCCAAATTTCTCCTTTTATAAGGATATCAGTCATACTGGATTAAAGGTCCACCGTACTTTAGTAGGACCTCATCTGAACTTATATCTGCAACAACTCTATTCCTAAGTAAGGTTACATTCTGAGGTATGGAGTTAGGAGTTGAACATGGGATGTTTTGGAGGATGCAATTCAGTTTGTAACAGGATTGTGAAGGATGTCAGGCCCCCGGGGGCATGGTCTGAGAACCTGTAACTTGCTTCTGGAGTCCACAGCCCTTCCCATTAAGTTGCTCCCCTTCCCCTTCTAGGCACCACCTCTTCTACCAGACTCCATGGTTGCCTGGAACTATGGCCACTTCATCTACCTCCACAGTCAATGGTTAAAGTTCATCATCCATTTTGTCAGTTATCTTGGGCCATTGCTTTTCTTCTCCACTCAGATGGGCCCTTTTGGTCATGTGAGCTTATCTGTGCCTCTACTAATAAAGACAGCAGATAAAACAAGTCAGGTCCTTAACTAATTCAGATGTAAAGTGTGTAGCAGCTAACTTTGAAATTAGTTTCTAGATGAGATTTATTTCAGGAGCATCTATGAACTGTAATTACTGCTGTCTCCTTGTTATCCAGCAACAGAGCTAGGGATCTGAGCAGCTCAGTGAACATCTGAATGGAATGCCTGAGACACAGCCAGCGAGAGCTGAGTGTGAGACTGAAAGTGTAATAGGCAAACTGCTTGTACCCTGCAGTGTGTGTGTTTGTGTGTGTGTGTGTCTGTGCAAACTGATACCTGAGTCTGTTGTGACCTGAGGGTTAAAGGCTTGCCCAGGTGTTACGTTACTCCATCTTCACCGCTATACACTTAAGGACATGTTTATGCCCCTATGTTACAGATGAGGAAACTGAGGCATAGACTGGTTAAACTTGTTACTTCCTAAACTTGTAAGATGCAGAATCAAGATTCAGATCCATGTTTTCCCTGAAGCCAACATACCTATCAGGTAAACCTTATTTCCCCTGTACCAGGTTCCAAAGAGGGCACCTGAAGACACTATAATGGAGACGGCGATGAGACTGCTCCACACAGATTTTTTAAGGCATTTGCTAAGCTGAGGGGGTGGTGCTAAGTACACTTCAAGTTGAAAGCTGCTCCATTTCAACACAAGTTAGCAGAATTTGTAAGCATGTTTGATATTAATAGAAGTGAATAAGGATCGTGTTATCTACTTGTTACAAAATACATTTGAATTTGTCCCTTGCTTGGTTTCCTCAAATACCTATTTAATTAGCTACAAAAGTCAGGAAGACATTCTGTAGTTTAGTTTAGCTGTAGTTTAGCTCCAAAGAGAAAGGCCCCATTTCTAACAAAGAATGTTACAGCAAGTGCTGGGTCCTGTGTCAGTATCCTGTCTGAGCCCTTCTAATCCTTAAAGATGGTTGGCTTAGATTGGTGCTGGCGACCTTCAATTGGCTTTAACAAGTAAACAACTGGAAGCATTCCCATTTATTAAAGTTTATTAATAAAAGAAATGAATCTGCAGAGGGAAGATCAATAAATATAAAATACATGGGAAACACTCGGAGGGTCACAGACCACAGCGCTGGGGAGATTACTCGAGGATGGGAGGGGCACTCTGTTTGAGTTTGTGGTCCAGAGGTGAAGTATTTGTCCTGCCGCAAGAGTTCAGAGGGCAGGAATTCAGTACTGGGTCTGGAGGAGAGATGTGATGCTAGATTCCTGAGATTTTCCCCTAATTGCAATTTTTGGTTTCTGCACGTTTCTTCCCTCTGACCTTGAATAGTTTTATTTTGAATTTCTATCCCAGTGGTACAGAACATCAGTGTATAAACACCTCATCGGGGCAGGCAGTCTACTCCAAAGGTGGAACGGTTTTTGTCTAGCGCCTTCTTAATCATGATTGTTAAAGAACCCTTGTAATTATTTTGTACAACTGGGAGAGAGGTGGAGTGGATAGTGTTATATAAAAAAAGTTCTGACCTTTTGGAAACCTTGCAGAACCAATAAGACAGATCAGCTATACGTACAGCTGATGACCTGCAAAAGCTTCTTTTTCATTGATTTAGCTGTTACAGTTTGGCGTGATTTATTCCCCAGGGAAGGGAACTTGACATTGCTCAGTGGCTTCTGTTTGGAATGAGAAAGTACGCAATGATGGTGGACACCACGTCAGGGTCAGTCTCCATTCCAGACAGGAGGTGGTGGATGCGGTCACATGTTTGCCAAAACCCTACTAACGGTCTGCCTTCTGCGCATGGCATGTTCTGGGCATTACATCCTCAAGGTGTGAGGGCATGAGTGGGCTGTTTCAAAGGAAACATTTTTCACTGTTTTCTTTCCACCTCTCCTGGATTTCCTTTAATCTGCAGCTATTTTGAGCACAGATGAGGGGTCAGTTTGCTTCTATTTTTCTCTCCTTCCTCAGTCACAGCTTTCTCTCCAAGGATGAGGTCAGGCAGCAAGCAGAAACACACTTTCATTCCCTTGCCAGCCCCAGAAAAAGGGCATGAGAGGAGCGGCCACAGGTCACAGCCAGTCCTGACCCATCCATATTCAGGGCTAGCTGAACTCACACTTCTCCCCTCTAGAGGGGTGCCACCATAGGGACTGGGGGACTCTCAGACCAGCTCAGAAGGGCGCTAAGGTTTGCCTGATGGGTGGATCCAGGTTCCCTAAGGGTGGGCGGGGGACACTTGATATTTGAGGCAGGTATTTCAGAATATGTTTTAGTCTATACTTTTTCATGTCATGCTTTCCATGATAAACCCTGCACTCAGGGGAGGAAAAAGAAAAGCTCTCTGAGACAGAATTAATGATGACTTATGCAGGTTTCTAATTTGCAGGGAACATACTGAAATCTCCTTCAGCTCACCTCACCCCGGCTGCCAGGATAAGGGCTCAGAGGGACAGGAAGGACCATTGCAGAAACATGCGCACGAGGGGCAGTGTAAACAGTGAGAGCGTTGGCTACTTGCGGGACTGTTCAGCTACACAAGGGGCCCTGTGGTCAGCCTTGGAGGGACTGAGGCCACTCTTGCTTTTGATCTGTGTTATATTTACATGAGGCAGCAAAAGAATCCTTGTACTGCAGGACGGGAGCGGGACGTGGCGTCTCGTCCACTGGGGGCCGTGTGGCGGCATCTGTGTGAGGGACACGCTACTCTCAGGGAGCCACGTCGTTCATAAGGCATTACCTGGTTTGATTTTGCAGTTTGTGTGATGAGACTAGAAAAATCATGCCAATAAGAAGCCATTGTGGATACTATGACTTTGGGAAGCTAAGGAATCTTCTAAAAACTGTTACGAGCCTAGGGAGGGCCAGCCTGCAGACATATTTACAGTCATGGAATGGACACTATGCGGTGGGACAAGGCTGTCACCTGTGCCAAGGTGCACTTTAAGAAATGGAGAAATAATGTCTGTGTGTTTTAAATTATTCAAATAGTCAACTATAATACTGATTTAAAGCCTGTGCAAAACACGTATTTACAATAAATAAACGCTCCATTCAGAGCCCGTGTGTCAGCTGAACTACGACTTGAGAGAGGTGAGGCCTGAGGTCCTCCTGGGGATGCCCACCCTGCCATGTGGACCTCCAGATGGCCCACGGGACGCTGGCTTCATCCGTCTTCTCACCGGAGCGTCTTAAGGGCTAACTGTGGAAACACAACAGTGTTATCAGGTGGGGTCAAAGGTCAACGAACCATCCCCAGGGCTCGCTATCCCTCATGCCTGCAAAGTTGCCAGGGTCTGATGGTTCCATCATGTGCAAGGTGCTGATCTTCACCCAGCGGGTCATGGGTGGAGAAGGAATGAAAGTGTAGCTTGTTTCAGGTGGGGACCGAATGTCATAAAAAATGTTTTAGGGACCAAGTACCAGCAGACCACTTGATGGCAAGCTCAAGAAAAGCTAAGAACTTGGTCACGATCTCAAGACAAGGCAATGAAAGAGGGAAAGGACCCTGGGCTTTCAGATTTCCAGTTTAGGGCTCCCAGCCTTGCATGGATTACTTGGGCTCTGGCCCCTAAAAGAAGAGCGCCCCCGGGGCACTGTTCACCATGTCTGAAACCCCGTGATTTCTCTGGTCAATTTCTTTTTGCATCACTGAAGTGAAAATGAATTAACATGGTGTCCACCTAGACATAAAGATCTTCTTGACTATGGGATGCCCAAGATAGACTACAGTCCGTCCTTGACTAGACTTTATGGGCTCAGGGGATTCAGATGTGTGCCTGCCATGAGGTTAGGGACTGGACAGTATGGAATGTTCCATCATGCTTATAACATCTGAAGGTGAGGGTGACTCCTGTCCTGGCGATTCTGACATGCCAGGGAAAGAGGCAGTGAGGTCCAGTGGAAGGAGCACTGGACAAGGAGTCAGAGGTCTGTAAGTGTGACCTCAGGTGAGTTCCTTAACCCTCAGAGCTCGGTTTTCTCATACGGAAAAAAGGCATTAAAGATAAATCTCTCCAGCTTGTATCACAGAGTTGCTAAAAAGGATCCAATGAAATAGCATATGTAAGTTCTCTAAACTATAAAAAGTTGTATAATGTAGGGACTATTATTTTGGTTATTACCATATTTTTCTGATCACAGGAGTAATGCATTTATTGTAGAAAATTCATAAATTGCATAAATGCACTAATAAGTCAAATTCAGTCATAAGCTGGCAGAGTGAATGCCTGTTAACAACTTTGTGTATATTCTTCCTATCTTTTTTTTTCCTCTGTATATATCCTTCTTCTCTGAACCACAATCATACACCCACCCAGTTTTAAACCTACAATCATCCGAGAATGTTTATTGCAGTTCTCAAAATTGGATCAGCCGTGGTTAGAAGGGGAGGAGGGAGCTTGTCCTCCTTCAGGGAACCTTCACCTCCCCCAGCTTCCAGGAACCTAGTTCATTCCTTCTCACATCCTTTTCCTTCAGGGTCCAACCTAACCTGTGGGTCCTGCCCTTTTGCCACATAGTTTTGAAACTGGAGGCCAAGAGGGGAGAGGATCCCTGTTTTCAAAGAAACAAAGGGCCTTTAAAGATGAGACCCTGTCCTGTGCCCTGAGAAATGTCATCTCCGCCCAGGTTAGAAAACACACTGTGTTCAAGTTGCCTTGTGCAAGCATGAGGGTGTTTCTTCAAAGCCTGTCTTACACGGGCAGCTCTCTGCTTCCCCCTCCCCCCAGCCTTCCCCTAGCCACCAGCACTTGAATTTTGAGGCTAAACTGGTCAAGTTAAATGACAATGTTGATGGTGGAAACCCGTGCCCCCACCCCCCTGGGGGGGCTGGTAAGAAACCTGGTACTCTATAGATGACAGAGAATACTGAATTATGTTTTACGCATGTTACAGAGTTTTTCTCTCAGGCTTCTCAGACCAGGGTAATGAGGGAAGAATGATGGCAGTGAACGCGGTGATGGTTGCAGAGGGATTCCCAGGGGTCCCACGTGCCAAAGCAGCTACTGATGATTCCAGAGAAGCCCTCTTTCACTCAAGTTTTGAAATTATGAGCATTTCACCCCAGCTGGAAACACAGGTGCCCGTGTGGCTTCTTCCCCCAGGTAAAACATGAAGCTATTCATGTGAAGGGGAAAGCAAACCTCAGCAACTGTGTGCTTCTTGAGGAGGCTTCCCGGTTTTACACTCAGGGACCGGAGAGTTCTGTTACCTGAGCGTTTCTGCCTTTGATGTCATCAGAGCTCTGCCCGCCCGCCTCGGCGTGGAGCCAGGGACCAGGTGTGCGGCCTGAAAGACACAGGAACCATCTCACCATCTGTTGGCCGCGGGCCGGCTGTGCGCTTCACAGTCTGGCTGTGCCAGCACCCAGGGCAGAGGCGCAAGAACCCAGGGTAACCTGAGCCTGTCAACCCGAACCCCCCGGGCTCCTGGCCCTAGATTGTGTTTCCACCCACTGCTTCTCTGTCATAGACCGTGGATACAGAGGCATCATGTCCACTGTGCTGGAAGGAGAAGTTATGAAGGGCTCTCATCTAAATGTAGGTGAGCCTCTCAGCTCTGAACACCCCACCTGCTACAGACTCGCTCGTGCGTCCTGACCCCAAATGAGCTGGCGCTGTTCTAGCGATGTTTAAAAAAGGAGTAAAAAGTGTGTGCTGACACAGCTCAGGCCCTGCCTGTGAGGATCCAACTCATTCTCTAAAACATGCTAGGTTTAAATATTATACAAGTTATATATATATACTGTATAAATAGCAACACCTCAACTATTTAAAGGGCTTCCCTGATAGCTCAGTTGGTAAAGAATATACTTGCAATTCAGGAGACCCTCGTTCAATCCCTGGGTTGGGAAGATCCCCTGGAGAAGGGAAATGTTAACCACTCCAGTATTCTGGCCTGGAGAATTCCATGGACTTTTCCATGGGGTTGCAAAGAATCAGACACAGCTGAGTGACTTTCACTTTCTTTCAACTATTTAAAAATCCATTTAAAAATGTAAATAATATACTGAATTGATTCCTTTTGGATTTATTGCTCTTTAAAAATCTCTTAAAAACACTTTTCAAGTTTTCTACAAAATGAACATATAAGTCATCTTAAGAATCTGCTATGGCACGATATAGTTTTTTAAATGAACTACCACATAGAAGGGTCTCTACAACTTAGAAAACATTAATCCAATGGGCCCTGTAATTTTCATTACAATACTTTTAAAATGAACGAATGCATCTGTTCTAGGAAAAAGATTTTTGGGGGGCAAATGGCATAGGAAGCACTAGATTTTTAGCCAAATATGCATGGTCAGTTGCTGCAGTCGTGTCCAGCTGTTTGGGAACCCATGGACCAGGCTCTTCTGTCCACGGGAATTTTTCTAGCAAGAATACTGGAGTGGGTATATACTCCTCCAGGGTATCCTCTCGACCCAGGGATTGAACACGTGTCTCCTGTGTCTCCTGTATTGCAGGCAGATTCTTTACTGCTGAGCCTGCAGGGAAGCCCCTGTAAAAAGCAGAGACACTGATGTGCTGAATTCCATGCAGCAGTATGACCCTGAAACTACTGTTCTTAGACTTACTCCAGTCTGCCACAGAAAAGCCTTCCTTTAGACCAAGGTTTCTTAACTTGGCTCTACTGACATTTGGAGCTGGATTTTTCCTTGTTTGGGGGGTGTTGGCTCTACTGACATCTGGAGCTGGATAATTCTTTGTTTGGGGGGGCTGCCTGTAGGTTGCAGGTGATCTCACAGCCTTCTTAGTCGCTACCCACTAGACACCAACAGTACATCCTCCACACCCCAGAGACCATTTGTGTTAACAAAAAAAATGTCTCCAGACTGTGCCAAATGTCCCCTGGGAGGCAAAATCCCCTCTTCAAGAACAACTGGGCAACGAAACAAGCTTCTCCATAGATAAACAGTGCCCACTAGTTTTTATAAATATGATGGGAAACAACAGCAGAGCTAAAGGATAACCAATTTCTTCATAAAACAGAAAAGAAAACTCTACATCTTGTAAAAGAAATTTCACTGCTGCTAGAAAAGGGTGGCTGAGAGTTGCCAGGGTTACCTAAGATTCTTTTAATTCAAATATCTCCTTGGGGGAGTGGCATCTCAAATATTTCCTTATGAGATGCCACTAGGATCTCTTAGAATTCAACAAACGGAGCCCTTCTGCTTGAAATAGTCCTTCACATGGGCTGTTTTCCTACAGGAGAGCATTTCAGATTCACTAAAATACTGGTTTTCAAACTTTTTTGGTACCACAATGTGCAGTAAGAAAGACTTTCCCCATTTCTATCTAATCACATGCGTCTGCTGCACACAGGACAGGCTGAGTGACCATTGTTGCTGCCTCCTGGTAACCAGATGACACCTGTTTTTCCCGTTATTAACACGGCTGTGTGTCCGGAGCTAGTGGCTGCAGAGCAGCCGACTGTGAAAGACTTCTCTGAACAGTGGGGCTTAAACAAGAAAGTCTACTCCTGGGTGGAAGGAGCAGCGGCCTGAGGGCCACGCTGGCTTCCAACTTTATTTTTTGTCATTTGTAAATCAGGCCAGCCTTATACCTTTCCCCAGACACAGAGATATTTTCATGTGTTAAAAAAAAATTGTTCTGTAGCCAACCAACAAGAGGCTGAATACTGCAGGGCTTGGAAATCATCCAGAAAGGATTTACAAACTTGGCTGGCCATCAAAGCTGGGTCTCTTGGAGGGTCTCCCAGAACACCTCCCAGTCTTGGAGTGCAATTCCAGGGGCTGAGTGAGGAGAAAACAGACTCCTTGGAGAGGCACATCTAACTGTCAGCTCTGGGCCAACTCGATCTCTCTGAGGTAGGGTCCACATGGCATCAGGTGGAAGGTAGCAGTTATGGCGCAGAGAATCACACTGTGTATCTGAAACAAACGCAACGCTGCAGGTACTGGCCTCATGTGCAGAGAAGGAATACTGATTGGACCATGACACGGGAGGCAGATGGTTACATGCAATCAAAAGCACAACTCTTTGTGACTGGGAACATTCCACTGGCAACGCTAACCAACTCTTTGCAACTCCATGGACTGTAGCCCGCTAGGCTCCTCTGTCCATGGGATTCTCCAGGCAAGAGTACTAGAGTGGGATCTCCAGGGATCTTCCTGACTGAAGGTGGGTCTTCTGTACTGCGGGCAGATTCTTTACTGGCTGAGCCACCAGGGAAGCCTGTCTGTATGACACAGGTGTTAAATGGAATGGTAGTTTCTGTTTCCCTTCCTATCTCAAAGCAGCTCAACAAATATGAAGCGAGATGCAAAACAGAAGAGGATGCTCTTTCTAGATGATTCCAGTGCAGCCCTGTGGGGATGAATACATGGGCTGGGCCAGAGATAGGGTGCCCTCAGCTGTATTCCCCAGGGGCCTGTATGTTCTGTGACCTGTATGTTGTATAATTACTTACAGAAGGGTTAGCCAAACTACCCTGGGTGTAGTTGTTTTTCTATCTTTTAAAAACAAGAAAAAGATGCTGTTAAAAATATATTTATCCAGAAAGATGCTGGTTTGAACTCTAAAAAGCAACCTGGAGTCATCATTTTCCCTTTTGAATACAGAGCCACTGAGTCTGTAGCTTCCTTTCTCATGTCAGGTGCATGCTTTCCTCTCAAGTGAGCTGAGGGCACATGCCGGGGGTTCTCCCTAGGCCTCTGCATGGAGACCCCTCACCTGAGAAGGCACGGAACCCACCCCTGGTTTGGGTCTATGCTGTTCCGGTATGTCAGGCAGCCCGCCCGTGTCAAGAAGCAGCCTCAGGCTCTCTTAGCTGGTGTGGAACAAAGAACCACACCTGGAGCCCTGGTTTTGCCACCAGCTGTGACCATAAGCCAGCCACCCTACTTCCGCTTGGTTCCTACTGCTCTCCTGGAAGGAACTGGGCCGGAAAACTTCACAAGGCTTCCCCGGCTCTAAGGCTGGAAGCCTCTCATAGCCTCTGACTAAAGGACATGACGCATTTCACTGGACATGATAATTCTAGTATCTGCCAGAGCTAAGCCTGAGAACCTGCACATCTGGCATCTCCTCTCCTCCCTGGCTGTCTCTGCCACAGATGACGCTGGTCTGAGGGACCCACCATCCCACCTAGAGAACTTACAGAGTCACCCTACACACCATAGGGCCTCACTTCCCTCCTCAGGCACTCAGCCCAGGGGTGCGCTTAATCATCGACACTCGCCCCATAATTTGGAATTTTAAAATCAGTTTTAATGATTTTTAAAAGTAATGTATATTTATTTTAGAACACTTGGACAAAATAGTGAAGCATGAGGAAAATAAAAATCACCCAACATTCCGAGACTAACGGATAACCAGTCCTAACACTGTAGTGGATATATTTCTAGCTTCTTCTCTTTTCTTTCTTTGTTCCACTTCTCCCTCTCCACATAAGTTCATGAAACAATTTCTTTTTAAAATTAATTTAGGTTTTCTTAAAAGTTTTTGTTTTAATGTGGACTATGTTTTAAAGCCTTCATTGAATTTGTGACAGTACTGCTCTGTTGTTTATATTCTGTTTGTTTGGTTTTTTTTTTTTTTTTTTTTTGGTGTGAGGCCTGTGGGATCTTAGCTCACTGACCAGGGATAAAACCTGCGCTCCCTGCATTGGAAGGTGAATTCTTAACCACTGGATCACCAGGGAAACCCCTAGGTTTTACTTAATGTAATTTTAGTATACTAGGTTGTTTTGTTTTTCTTCTTAAGGTTGCATTGACATTTTCCCATGTCACTAAATATTCAATAGCACTACTATAATAGATGCAGAACATTCTACCTGGTGGCTCTGCCCTAATTTATTTCACCTCGTTGCTGGAAATTCATGTTGTTTTCAAATTTCTTCTGTAAATGGATTAGCAATATATTAAAATATATGTGTGTGGATTTTTAATTGATTAATTCAACAAGTATTTCTCGAGTGTGAGTGCCTGGCCCTCGTGGCTCAGTGGTAAAGAACTCCCCCACCAATGCAAGAGATGTGGGTTTGATCCCTGGGTCAGGAAGATCCCCTGGAGAAGGAAATGTCAACCCACTCCAATATTATTGCCTGGAAAATCCCATGGACAAAGAAGCCTGGTGGGCTACAGTCCATGGGGTTGCAAAGAGTCAGACAAGACTTATCGACTAAACAAAAACAAGTGCCTGCCCCCATGCTGGGAGCTGACAATAGAGCAGTGAATAAAAATCGATATTATCCTCGCCCTCCAGAGCCTTACATTGTACTTGGGAGACAGACAGGAGACAGGTAAATATATAACATGTCAGGAGGTGATGCATGCTTCAAAGAGATGATAAAGGCAGCATAAAGAGAATGACAAGAAGGGCTGCTATTTTATCTGCAGTGATCACCAGGGAAGACCACACGAAGGAATGTGGTCACCAGTAATAATCAGGCATGGCTAAGACAAACACACTAGGCCAGAGGTCCTTACTACCTAACCGCCCTCCGTAAAAGCTGAAAGAAATACCTTGGCACAGGCATTGTCTTCTGATTCTCTTAGTATTGGGACATCTAATTCTTTGACTTTATGGTGTGAACCACATTGAGCTGTCAGTTACTAAGTGTCTGGTGGAGAAGTTTCTCTGCTAATGGATATAATGGTAGCCAGTTTTGCTATATAAAGTAAATGTATTTTAGAAAATGAGTTGGGCCACAATGAGATACAACTTCATACCCATAAAGATGGCTACAAACAAAACAAAATACCAAGACCAGAAAATAACAAGTGTGGGTGACGATGTGGAGAAACTGAAACTTTGTGTATGCTAATAGGAACATAAAAGGGAAAACAGTATGATAGTTCCTCAAAAAATTAAAAATAGAATTACCACGTCATCCAATTCCATTTCTGAGTATATACGCCAAAGAACTGAAAGCAAGCTTTCAAAGAATTATTGGTACACTTGTGTACATAGCAGCATTGTTCACAACAGCCAAAAGATGAAAGTAATTCAAGTGTCTATTGATAGACAAACAGATAAACAAAATGTGATAAATACATACAATGCAATTCAGTCTGAAAAAGGAAGGAAATTGTGACATGTTACAGCATGGATGAACCTTGAGGACATTATGCTAAATGAAATAAGCCACTCTCAAAAAGTCAAATATAGCATGATTCTACTTATATGAGGTACCAAAAGTAGTCAAACTCATAGAACCAGAGAACCAGAAAGTACAACAGTGGCCTAGGGGAGGGGAGAGTGGGGAATTGTTTAATGGGTATAGAGTTTCAGTTTTGCAAGATGAAAAGAGCTCTGGAAATTGGTTGTACAACAGTGTAAATGCATTTCACACTACTGGACTGTATACACAAAATGGTTAGGATGGTAGATTTCATGTTATCTATTTTTTAAACCACAATTAAACATAAAGAAACAAGGAGTTGGGATGCAGTCAATCAGCCACTTTCCCAGGGAACTGACCATGATGACAGTCCGGCTGGGAACACCAGAGTGAAATTTTATATTTCAGTGTCTGTCTGTCCTCTCTTCCTTTACCAACACGTGACTCTTTCAAGGATAGGTCAAGGGGATCATTTACCTAAATCTCTCCAGTGCTAAGGGCCTTAATAAGTATCTGTCCATACGATGATGACTTCACCCTTACTATCTTCATTAAAGTTAATGAATATTTGTGAGCTATGCATTTTTCCAAAGATTTCTAGTGATAGGGTTTTACACGTTCATTTTATTGTGGTAAAATACACATAATATAAAATTTTCCATTAACAACATTAACAGTCACTCCCCATTCTCCATACCCTCCTGCCCTTGGCAACTGCTAAATCCACTTTCTGTGTCTTTGGATTTGTCTATTTTAGGTATTTTGTACCAGTGGAATCCCACAATATGTGACCTTTATGTATGCTTCTTTCACTTAGCATAATGTTATCAGGGTTCATCCATGTTGTAGCATGTATCACTGCTTCATTCCTTCCTACTGTCCAATAATATTTCACTGCATGGCTCCACCACATTTGTGTTATCTATTTACCATTTGATGGGCATTCAGGTACTTTTCACCTTTTGGCTATTGTGAATAGTTATGAATATGTCAGATATCTTGTTTGAACACCTGCTTTCAATTCTTTGGAGTGGAATTGCTAGGTCATATGGTAATCTGTTTAGTGGATTGAGGAACCTAATGCATTCTAAAAAACATTTTAAAAAACTGGAAAAAGTCATCTACTAAAGAAAGAAACGGCTGATACTTGGAGAGTGGAGACATGGAAGACAGCCCTGAAAGCACTAAGCCTGAGGGTGTTTGTGTGCTGTGCGTCAGAAGGACAGAGAGAAAGCAGGCAAGCAGGCGGAGACAGAACTCCAGATATGTCACAGAAGAGCGGGGAAATAGCCTCATCTGATGGAACCAAAGTCATCTCCCAGACCACGAAGACCTCTGATCTGGGGTTATAGGTCAGTGGCAGAAATACAAGAGGAAAACTGTAAGGAGAAATGTAATCAGATAAGCATGAACTGTACCAGGCTCACACTCACATAATTAACAAGGTTCTCTTTGCGGCTCCCAGGAATGGCAGGGACATGCTCGTTTAATTGTGCTAGGAGGCTCCTGCAGTATTTCATGCCCACCAATGCCACATCAATCCCAAAGCATATCTTCTTTTTGAAATGACAAATGCCCTTTCTGGTCTGTAAGATGTCCATTCATGAGTAGGTTGGGTTTATATTTGAACTACTACTACTTCTTGATCACCAGGAGATTATTCTGGTGTGGGCACTGATTTAACATTTCTCTGAAAGGAGAGGATCACAGCACAGACCGCCACCTATCTGCCCTGGTGAGCTGTGTGGGGTAAAGCTTTTCTTCTATTCTCAGGGATAAGACTAGTTACCATGGGCTCCAAATGTAGCCACCTTGGATTAGAATTTACTAGAGTCTGAAGGTTCCTGAGAAAGGCTATGTAACAGAAAGATTTTTAAAACTCTTCTTTTGCAGTGATTTAGGGTAGAGATGAGCAAAATCCAGCCAGCAGACCAAATGCAGCCAGTGCCTGCCTTCCCAAATAAAGTTTTACTGGCAGACAGCAATGCCCATTTCTTTATGTGTTGTCTATGGCTGCTTTCATGTCAAAACATCAGAGTTGAATTGTTGTGATAGAGACCAGATGGTCAGCAGAACCTCAGACATGCCCTCTCTGGCCCTTTAAAGACAATATTTGCTAATCCCTGGCTTAGGATAAGGCTCTGATGACCTGCAAAGCTAGTTCCCACTCCTGACCTTACCCCTCAGCCTCAGACCTGAGTACTCCCTGCTCAAACTGGCCCAGGTCACCTCTACCTTGCCGCCCTACAGGCACGTCCGCTTGCCCTGACTGATAACTTTGTCTCTGCCTGAAACCAGCTCCTTTCCTGCTCCTTCTTCTTGGTGCCACATCATCCACCCAGGCCCAGGTAGATACTCAGAGTTCCTTTGTATAGCCTGTGGCCCATTAGTGCACCCAAGCACCTTCTGGAGGGTCAGGGAAAACCAGGAGTCTTAGCGAGGTGGTACTTACTTCTGGGGATCTTGCTGGGGTAAATCTTCTGGCATGGTTTATACTCATCCGGAGGAGGAAAATCTTCCATGGAATGGAACGTGAATTTAGATTCAAAGTCATCTGCACACAAGGGAAATCGCAAAATCACTCTCATGACTATGATGATCCGAGTTTTAATAATTTCCAGGAGCAAACAGGTTTGCCTGCTCAGTGCAAGGTTTTAATGGCAGGGCTATTCCCTTCTAAGACATCCATTCACGTCTTAACTTTTACTATTACTACTTAGCTGGGACAAGGGGGAATCAGGACAAGTGAAGTCACAGACTCTCCCCATCATCCACCCAACTTCCTTCAACCAATGTCTTAAGGAAGCGTCCAAAGGGAGCAGAAGTGCCACAGGCCTATCCAGGGCCCAGAGTCAGAGGTGGGGAACCTGGCAGCAACAAAGGCCAGCCAAGTCCCTGTGGCCTGCGGTCCTTCCTGTGCTCCTGAGGCGGACTCTAGGTGAGGCGGGAGGGCTGGACAGAACAAGAGTTCTCAGCCTGGCTGGTGGGGAGGAGCCCAGCCTGTGTCCAGCTGGGGACCAGGGCTTCCCAAAGCGAACGGGTTCTGCCATGAGCCCCCGATGGCAAAAGGAGAAGGGTCTTGTGGCTCTTTTATGAGTTGAGTCCCTGCTTTGTGATCTAGGTTTTGGGTGTGACAGTAGCTCAGCCCACAAAGGGGTCCAAAGATTTTTGGTCACACCTGACCCCAGATGACTTTCCTTCCTAGTTCCACAGCTTTACCTTAATTGTTCCTCTGCTGGTGGACCTTCCATCCATCCTCTCACCTTGTACAAATCAGTCTATCAGGCTTACGTCTGATTTCTCCATGGAGACAGGTGTGTGCATGTGCACGCGCACACACACACACACACACAGAACTTAAATTTTGGTTTTCTTCTCTCTCTGTAGTCTCAATCAGAAGGTTGGGGAGTAGATTCTGGAACCCTTCCCCCATAAAGCCTCAAAAGAAACTCTATTTAACACAACCTGTAGGCTGTTCTTCACCCCACTCACCAATGATGTTCAGGTTTCCATTCCGCAGCTGACCTCCAGGCTGCTGGGTCGGGGTCCAGGCTGGGGCCTGCTGGCTCCTGCTGGAAAGCTCAGTGGTGGGTGACCTCGCAGGGGGTGCTGGGGGTGGGTTGAGTTTTCCCCCACCGGTTCCTGGCAGAGAAGATGATGGAGTATTCAGATACAAGACTTTCAGATAGAAGATGCTAGGATGGTAGATGCTATAATCTTCTGGGAGAGGTGAGGTATTGAGATCTTTGGGTGTAAGATGATACAATGATGAAAAGGCAGCCTCTTGAGCCAACCTTCTTGGGACTGAATCCCAGTCCTCCTGCTGGGGTAATAACACCACCTCTTTGTGCCTCAGTTTCCTCATCCATAAAATGGGAATAATAATATATATAAACATTCTTGGGCTTCCCTGGTAGCTCAGATGGTAAAGAATCCACCTGCAATGTAGGAGACCCAGGTTCGATTCCTGGGTTGGGAAGATCTGCTGGAGAAAGGATAGGCTACCCACTCCAGTGTTCTTGGACTTCCTTGGTGGCTCAGCTGATAAAGAATCCACCTGCAATGTGGGAGACCTGGGTTCAATCCCTGGGTTGGGAAGATCCCCTGGTGAAGGGAAAGGCTACTCACTTCAGTATTCTGGCCTGGAGAATTCCATGGACTGTATTAAGCGAGTTGATTTAATTAAAGTGGCAGGTAGTAGGGGCTCAATGAATATTAGCTGCTATGATAGTATCAACCCTTGTCATCAGATGGTACAGCCCAAAGAAGTGAAGATACTGCACAATCCTATGCAAGGGAAGGACTCTCTATAGGTGAGACTCGGGGTGGGGCTGGATGAGCAGGCTGTCGGGGGCTTGCTCCTTCCCCTGCGTTTCTGCTTGCACTGATTCTCCTGCACTTTAGTCCTGTTTCTCCTTCCAGTGAATTTAAAACCTAGCTGGCCCCCAGGGCCCAACTCAAATCCCATCTACTTCATCAATTCTTCCCTGATGATCTCCTTTGCCAAGACTTCTTCACATGACTCATTTGGCAGTTAATAACCTGCTGCCTTGGCACATCAACTTGAGTACTCGACTCTTCACTTTGCTCTTGAAGTGATGACAACTGCACCATTAGTATCTGTGTCAAGATGTTCACAAGTACAACCTCCTACTCTTCCCTGTGGTTGGCCTGAAGCAGAAATCACCCTCATGTTGTTCATGGAAAGCCAAGTCTCACGTCCAAAATCACAGTGGAAGAGGCCAGACAAGCACCCATTCCTGGAGTCAGATTTGCAGCTCTGGGGCCTGTGCAGGCCCAGCGTGGAAGCTGGCCTCCCCACGGCCGTCAGCGCACCTCACAGCTCAGCTCTGCCCCCGGCCTTTCCCTTTCTCAGTCTCCCTCCTCTTCCTTGCTGGTCTTCCCTTCCTCTGTACCAGGATCCACTAGGATTTACTTGTTCCCACAAGGGGACTAAAGAGGATAAGGGGCTGTGGACCCCTCTTCTGTGTGAGGACCTGCCTCTCCACTTGGTCAGAGAGAAGGAAGTCAGGCTGCTGAGCCCCTAGCTACCCCTCTCCCCAGGCAAAGCACTCCAGGCGTACTTCCTCACTTGGTGTGTAACAATCCATTGTAAAAGGTGTTACTGTCACTATTTCCATTTGTCAAATTAAAAAAAGCAAGGTTCAAGGACATTAAAAACAGAAGAGGGAGGGAAGGCAGGATTTGAACTCAGATCTCTCTGAATCTAAAGCATTGATTTTTTTTCACCCCATCTTAAACATTTAGGAATCATGAGCCTCAGAAGGGGCTCACTAATACTAATGCTGGACATTATGATCAGTCAGTTGAGAAGAGAATGATTAAAATCTTATCTCCTGTGATCAAAAGCCTTAAAATATCCTTGCTTTTTGTACCAGGCACTCCCTTTCAGGGACTTATCCTTTAAAAAAAATTTTTTTAATATAGACTACAATTGCTATAAATGTATCTCCTGCAATATTATTTGTAATAAAAAATGGAATCAACTTAAATATCTAGAAATATGGTACATATCAATTATATTAATATGCTTACAGATACATTTTAACGATTTCACAAATATCAAATTACATCAAAACTGCTTTTAATATTATATTAAATGAAAACAGAATAGAAAATAGTATATACAAAATCGTATTAACCATGTAAATATGTAGGTATGTTAAGAAAAAAAAAAGAAACACATCCAAATATGACAGTTTTTACTTCTGGGTGATGTTATGGGTGACTTCATTTTTTTCTATTTGCTCTACAATGAACTTGTATTATTTTTAATTCAAGGATATATATTTAAGAAACTTTCTGCATCAAGAGATGTTCTGCAGATTCAAAAATACAGAGAACAAACTGGTGGTTACTAGTAGGGAGGGGTGGGGGCAGGGCAAGATAGGGGAAGGGGATTAAGAGGTACACACTACAGGTATAAAATAAATAAGACACAAGGATGTAATGTACAACTCAGGGAACATAGCCAATATCTTATAGTAACTTTAAATGAAGTAGTCTCTATAAATATATAGAATCACTATGCTGTATACCTGAAACTAATATAACATTGTAAATCAATTATACTTCAATTAATAAAAAGAATGTCTTCTCAAAAAAATTTTTTTTTCTGAAAAATCAAGGAATATGAGCCTGTGTGTATAATTGTGGATATATGTTGGCCTATGTGTGTGGCTATGGGCTTTGATGAATGTGTGCATATATTTATGAGTGTGTGTGTGTGTGTGTGTGTGTGTGTGTGTGTGTGTGGTGGAGGGTGCTTCCCCTATGGCTCAGCGGTAAAGAATCTGCCTGCAATGCAGGAGCTGCAAGAGACATGAGTTCAATCCCTGGGTCGGGAAGATCCCCTGGAGGAGGGCATGGCAATCCACTCCAGTATTCTTGCCTAGAGAATTCCCATGGACAGAGGAGCCTGGTGGGCTATAGTCTACAGTGTTGCAAAGACTCAGAATGCATGCGTCTGTGTGTGTGTGTCTGTGTGTGTGTGTACATGGGGGGGGGGTGTGAATGTGTAGTGTGCTTTCCATTTAGAAGCACACCAAAGGGGACTGAAGGCTAATCACTTCATGGAAATCATAGTCATGGAGCATGTATATTCAATCCAGATCATCTCTGCTGGAAATATGAAGGGATTATTTTTAAAGTTTGGCTGAAGATATGGACCCTCAGTTTTCCTGAGTCAGCTGGAGAACCTGCCAAAGATATGGCAGAATGGTAAACTAATCTACTCAGGATCAGTGAAAATCCTGGCTGGGAGCCAGACTATAATAACTCAGACAAAAATTACACAGGAGAGCTGGTTCTGGAAACAATTGCACTTATAGCTGTCCCACCCTGGGGAATGGTGATAGTAAAAACAAATAGACTTTTCTAGATCTCACTGTTCTGACAACTGCATGAGGGGAGAATCATTGCTATGCCCATTTCACAGATGAAAAGGAATCACAGAGGCTGAGGAACGGCCCTGGGTCACGCAGCTGGTCACGGCACGGTGATTAAGGCCAGAATCCCTAGCTTGTGGTCTGCACCATCTTAGACAAGTCTTCCGGCCTCCCTTACCCCGGTTTCCGGTCTCTAACCTTAATACCTCAGCATAAAGTCACATAAAACAAAGTTTTTCTTGTGCTCCACACGGCACTGAACAGGTCTGATCTAAAACAAAACTCAGAGTTAAGACGTCCTGAGGTTTTCCCAAGTGGGCCACAGCTGCAGGCCTCTGGGGGTTTCCCTAGCACCTCCAGGGCTGCTGCCAACGGTCAAAAAAATTATCCTCCGACACGACCACCCTGGAGAGGAGCAGTGCTTACCCGGGCCTCGGCCGGGCCTCTTCTTCTGCAGGAACGGCTGAGATCCCGGAGGGGCGGGCGGCGCCGGCAAGGCCTGCCCGCTGGGCTTGGGTGGCTGGGCCTGGAAGCTGGGGGACTTGGGGGGCAGCGGGGGTGGGACTTCACAGCTGCTGTTAGCACTTGGCAAAGGGGGCGCAGGCAAAGAGGATCTGGGGGTGCATGAGGCGTAAAGGGGGAGTGGAGGTGGCGGGGGCGGCGGCGCGGGAGGCTCCCGCACATCTTGGGCTGGGCTGGCAGCATCCGCGTTGAGCCCTGGGTGCCCACAAGGAGGGAGGAGCNGCCTGAAGAAACACACTCTCCTCCGCGGAGATGAGCCCGGTTCCAGCTGCCAGACTGCTGTGTGGCACCAGCTCCCTGTCCTATCCCACCTCCACCCTCTGACCAGGATATAGGGCTGCCCTGACCTCCTTCACCCTCTCTCCTCTCAAGGTCACCCTCACACTCATCCTGTTATTCTCTAGGCCAGTCAGCCCGCATCTGTGGGTGTACTAACCAGAAGCTTCTGACGGAGGTTTTTCTCACTCCAGCATTTTGTGAACATGAACTTTGTTTCTGTACTGAGAGAAGGAGATTCAAGATTCCCTGAATATACTAGGTTATTGGAAAGTCAGTGGGAATACACCCTGCCTTGGGGATCCAGGTCCAATGATCTTGAACCTCCTAGTTCCATGCCGTCTGGAAACTCAGAGATCCCTTTCTCAAGGGCTTTTGCCCGTTTCTAAGCGGCTTGCTGTCTCCTGATCTCCTGGCTCTCTTACCCTGTAGATCCTTCACCACATCAACCCCAACTTGAAATCCAATGCCTCTTTAAGTCCAATGCCAACAGCAACAACAACTTGCTCACAGTAAGCATTTGTGTTTGGTGGATGTCATGGAAGACTCGGGTGGAGGGTGCCTCCCAGGTTGGGGCCTCCTCACTCTTTGCACACCCTTTCACCCTACTTGCCACTTCTCACCCTTTTTTGCCTCTGTCATTCCAAAGAGAAAAAAGTCTCTCTCCTTGTTTAATGCACAAAAGTTCTGCAGTCACTTAAATATGTCCTTGGAGTATCACTCTCCACTGAGGAGGCATATTAAGACATTTCTTCCAAATAAATATACGGCTTTCCCTAAAAGGAATTTTTGGGAATATATTTCTCCTATTCCAGCACCTGTATATTTTATAATCTCCATGAAAATATTTGGAAACCACTAGAAAACATGTTTGCTTCTCACATCTCCAGCTTCCTGGTGCTACAGAATAGGAAACACAGGTTTCATGTCAAATTATAATGCCAGCAGCTGTTGGTGGTTGTGAGCTTTTCAGTTCCTGAGTCTCCAGTGTGTTTACCGAACCAGATGCTAAAAGTATTTGGTGACAAAAGTCAGGCCAGTCATGGAAGGGCATGGAAGAGGTGACTCTGGGGCTGAAACCAAGTGTCAGGATCACAGTAACTGGCTTTCCAAACGGATGACCCTACTCTGGCTATGATGTGACAGCCACCTGGACACATGACTCATGACATGAGTCTCAACTGTGGAATGCTCTTCTGGAGGCAGGGGGGAGCTGTCAGTATTCCTCTGTTGAAATTTTCTTTTAGATGGCTGTGGAAGAGATAAGATCTTTGCACACAAGTATCCACCCTGGCAGACTTGGTTCCACCAGGGTGCCAGAATGGCTGACTGTCCATGACCAGGAGCAGGAGGCCCCCACCTGGCCTTTTCGGGGTCAGAATCTACCACCTGCGATTCCAGCGTGAGGCATATTCTATGAGGTCCAGGGTAGGTGTCAGCCTCAGAGATTCCTGCTCCAAGTGCTCCAGCCTGTTTTCAGTAGTCCACAGGGATGAAGATGGAGGACCTAGGCAGCTCTCCAGACAAGGCAAGGCCTCCCTCTGTACCCACCGGCCAGATGACTTTAAAGAGGTAATAACTTTGAGTAGCAGAATCAATTCCTGAATAACTAATCTTAAGTTTTTAAGTGTCTGAGAACACCATGTATCTGAGATTCCAAAACCCTTAATGTGGGTCAGTTAAAGTACAGGAGCTTCTACTTACTAAATGGCCAACCTAATGAGAGATGGGCAAACCTGTTTGTATCATCATGTGAGCAGCAGAAGCAAGGACAGCACAAATCCTTGCCCAGCCTATGTGCGTGCCCATTCTGGGATGAAGCAGAGAGCTGAGCTCAAGGGGAGACCCACAGGAGTCAGAGTCAGCTCTGGCGAGGAAACCAGGCAGCAGAGAGGGCTCCGAGAGTGAGCACCAAGGGAAGGTTTTCCTTCATCACACGAATGCAAGCCCTAGAAATCCAACTAGAAACACAAGAGCAGACCTTGAAGTGGTAGGGAAAGGCCAGTTCGAGAGCATCAAGGGGGCTTTGTTGACATGAAAGGAATTAGCTTTTGAGCCTGGATATTTATCAAAAGATGAAATATGTCTTCCTCCTTCCATTTGTGTATGTTTCCAGGAGACCTCGTATTGCATGGAAGTCTCATTACACGTTCTATACAAGCCAGTGATGTTTAGGGTTTGTTACATAGCAACACCTAACAGACATGATGCTAGAGACCCATTACAACTCACCACTGCCAGTGAGTCCACAGTGATGTCACGAAGACCTTCTACTGTGATTTATATCCATACTTTGCAGTGTGGGCCACAATCACACCATTGCTAAACACTCCACACTACGGCAACTCCTTCTTCAGTGATTACAATGGGATGATTTAAACAGGATGAGGATTTCAAAGATCCCTTAGAAACAAGTCTATGTTTTGAAAACTTCCAGTATTTATGCTTCCAAAGAGGTGATCTCCTACCACATGACTATTCACTCTAAACATGGCACTTATGGGCAGGTGAGGACTGCCCTGTTGGTTCTGCAAGGCAAGGAGATAAGAGTCAAAGGTAGCCAATTTGAACTCTTCCTTACCTGCTGCATCCCTCTGGCCTGCCGGTCGTAAAACTGGAAAGCCACCAGCAAACAGATCTCCCAGGGCTGGAGGTGTGCTCCCCCCTCGAGAATTTGCAGGACCTCCTCCCTCTTTGTTGGTTCCTTTAGAACCTGTAGAGAGAAGAGGCAAGTAGATGTGGACCTGTGAGCAGAGCTGAGCGGCCAGCTCTCACCCTGGCCATGGTCTAACACTGCCCGTGGCAGCCTTCCCTCCTCTCCCGACCAGTGTTACCCTTCTCCTACTCAACGTCTTTCTCAAGGACCCCTGCCTGTGCCCCAGCCTGTCTGCCACCCTCTCCAGGCTACCAAAGAGCCATCAGTAGTAACCATTCTGAATAAGGATCACAACAAAGGCATCTCTACACTGCCATTTAGTAGACATGTGTGTGCACGCTCAGTCTGTGGACTCTGTAATCCCATGAACTGTAGCCCGCCAGGCTCCTCTGCCATGGGCTTTTTTCAGGCAAGAATATTGGAGTGGGTTGCCATTTCCTCTTCCAGGTGATCTTCCCAACCCAGGGACTGAACCTGCATCTCCGGCATTAGCAGGCAGATTCTTTACCACTGAGCCACCTGGGAAGACCATTTAGTAGATGCCATCTTTTAAATTAGAAAACCCAAACACTGTAGGTAAAGAGCTGACCCCATTTTCACTTGACTGTTGTGGGAGGACTAGACGAAGAAAACCCAAAGATTTAATTTAGGCAATAATTTTAACTTCTGGTCCACAGAGCCTGGTCCAGGATTTGCAAGCAGGAAGTAAAGGTCTGCAGTGATTTCTTCTTTGGTGTTTTCATTCTGTCTCCCCAGCTCCCACTCCCTGGGCCTAGTGCTCTTCCCTGCACCACTTTTTTTTTTTCCTAGGGAAAAGAAAGCTCATGAGCTTGTGAGAGATGTCACTAATTCCAGCCTTCCAGATGTGTGTGATTAGCAACTACATAAAATGAGAAGACATTGAGCTTACAAGAATTTTTGGCAGACAATGTTCACAGCCTGAAGCTAATATGCACAGAGAAATCAGGGCACAGTGCCTACTGGTGGAGGAATGTGGCCAGATTATTCCTAGTATTAACATTAAACATTACTTCTTCACTAGAATGATAAAGAAATGAGTGTCCCAATAAAATGAATTGATCTGTTAACTTGTTTGTTGTTGTTCAGTCACTAAGTCATGTCCAATTCTTTGTGATCCCATGGACTGCAGCATGCCAGGCTCCTCTGTCCTTCACTGGCTCCCAGAGTTTACTCAAATTCATGTCCACTGAGTCAGGCTTAACTAATTAGATGGTGGGTCTAGCCAGAACTAATTTTTATTGTAACCAATGCTGAAAATGTTTCTTAAAATAATTTGCCTATTCATGTACATTAACATATAATTACAGATATTAGATACAATTATATTTTAGGACTATCTTTGAGAATTACCATCATGTATCATTGCAAAATATATGGAGCCATAATAATACCTTATATTTAAATATATTCCTTTTTTTACTTTTCTTTTTCTTTATATTTATTTATTTTAATTGGCAGCTAATTACTTTACAATATTGTACTGGTTTGTGCCATATTTTGTATATACTGGGCTTCCCTTGTGGCTCAGCTGGTAAAGAATCTGCTTGCAGTGTGGGAGACCTGGGTTCGATCCCTGGGTTGGGAAG